CTAAAGTTATGGTCTGGAAACCAAATATCTTCAAAAGACAACAACGTCATACCATTATACGGCCGCAAATACTTTGCGGTCATATAAAAACCTTGTACGAGATATCCTTAAGATCATTGAGACCCAAGCTTGGTTAAAATTAGTTCTGTGGTTTCAGAGACTAATGCCAAGTGATGGCAATAGGTCACATGGTCAGAGACTGGCGAGCTATAAAGCAAAGCAAAATAAGGGAAGTGACAATATGTTTCTGTTGTTGCAATTATTGCCATAAATGCTAATTTCTAATATCTATGGATGAATTGTATGCACTTTTTGTATATTGAATTGAACATTTTCAAATTCATCTTGATAATGTAAATAAGAATGCAACATATTTCCAAGTGAACCCATTTGCCAGGAAAATGCATATCTTAACCTTTTGGGTCAAGAGTTGTTTCTTGAAAAATGCCTTTGGTTAAATTAGAATATGTACACATGACAGGTAATCAGGCACCAACAGTCTTCTAAAGATAACACGGTCTATGTCTGGCATTACCTATATGTGTGCATTTCTAGACAAAAACATTTTTTGCATCTTGGAAGCTTATATATGTATATATGTAGGACTCTTTAAGTGCAATGGGGACGCTAAAGTACGATGGTCACACTAAAGTGTGATGCCTCCATATGCTGAAGTCCACAAGAGTGTAGAAAGCGTAATTGGATTATGACGTTAACAGTCGTTTATACAAACCAAAAATGGACGTTGGAAGATAATTAAAATTTATGTCGGTAAAATAAAGGTACATGTTTTCAAACGTAAATTATAAATTGCTGACTAAAACATAAGTTCGTACATTGTAGGAAAATATTACATGTATTTGTACTCGCTACAAAACAGGAGAAAGCTTGGCGAACATCACCTTTCTCTAACACTTAAAATTAAAGCTCATACAAATAAATGTGACATATTCGGACAATGAACAAATTTTGTATATGTAATTTACAATGACGATTGTAAGGGGGGGTTTTCACATTATTGATAGACTGTGTGAATGGCAAGCTACACCAATTATCCCAATATTTAATACCCTCCAATTGTTATAAATTCATTTACAGGAAATAGTCTTTTTTGTGACACCAAAATTACCTTTTTAGGAATTATTACACAGTCGGTCTTCTCAATTTAGAAACATTCACTTACACCTACCTGTAAATTATAAAGCCTATCACATGTAATACCCTAGAATACTAGCTTTTGTAAAAGGACTTTTTTAGCATCCAACATTTAACGTTTAAGTCCTCAGACCTTACCCTATTGGTCCATCCCCCTTTAGCGTAGACCATCACAATTTATTGAGACCATCGCACTTTAGAGTACCATCACACTTTATGGAGTCCTACATATACAAACAAGATATTAATCTTAACATATACAACTAAAAACAAATTTGTCTTAAATTTTATTGTCTATAATGCTACAATATGGATATTAAATTAAAATACAAATGCAATTCAAGATAAATTGAAATCTATTTTTATCTTTAATTAGATTAAAATGATTATTTCTTATGTACACAAAATCATGATAAAAAACTTTAGCCATGTAAAACCTTCATGCAACTATTAAGTGTTTGCAAGAAATGAAAAAAAACATCTATCACTTGGATCAAATCCTTTATTAGTAAATATAAATTTTATTACAGTTTAATCAATTAATGGATAATTTTAACCTCAATAGCGAGTTTTTATTATAAATAAAATGTTATTAAAATGAAGAGTATATTTACTTTGAACTAATATAAATACATAAAACTTGCTATTTTAAATAAAATACTTTATATGTAAAGTTTTAAACTACTAATCATTTTTGTTAACCTTTTCCATATACAAATGTACTTTATATTGAACAGATTATTAGTTTTCCAAAATCATAAATGTTTGTGGGCATTATATTTCTGATATTACAGATTATTTTTTTATGATAAATTCATAACAATTTCAAGCAGATCAGTCAGTGTAAAGCAACATTTTCACATGAATGAAATAGATAAGTCTATGTAAATGACAATACAATTTAAAAATACAGGATACCAATGCAAACAAAAGTAGCTGGAATGTTATGTCAGCTTTTCAATGTAAGCATATGCACATTTTGTATCTGAGTCTTTCTCACTTGATATAAATATGGCACCTTGAAATATTATTACTATTCTGGTGCCAAATCTGATTGATTTCATGATTTACAAAGTATATATTAAATTCAATATACCACAATATAGAAATAGATTTATTTATACCTAGCTTAATTTCGAACTGTAAAATAAAACAAGAGAACACAATGAAATGTCTTGCCTACAGCACTAATTGATTTGAATACATTTTAAAGATCGAATAAGTGTTTAGTTCAGGTAAAATCTAATAACACTTGTCAGATAAATATGTACACTTTATAACAGATTCTTGTACAAAATACTGAAGCCCTTTCATGTATAATTATGAATGCAAATAAACCTCAAAACCTTATCTGAAACAGGATCATAAAATAAGGTCAAGAACATATGATATATGTCGAATGGATATATACCAACAGCAATTTCACATACTAAGAACTAAATACTGTTGACCTGCATGCACCATTTCAGAGAAATACCTGTGACCCTAAATACACTGACCTAACATTGGATTGTGAGCCATTTATGTGACAGATGCGTACCGTTTTAAAAAAAAACCTTTATATTAGTTTATTTGACATGCAAAGTTACCGATCAAGAACATTGTACTGTAAAAAAAAAAGGTCAAGGTTATATTACAAGACATATACTCCTAACAACCACTCAAAACCATATTCTAATGACTTGATGCAAACTAGCATCAATAGCGTATAGGTAGAGGTAAATGTCATGGTTCAATGACCTGAAGTCTAAAATTTTCTCACAAGTAGCCCACATAAAATTGTTAACCTGGATGAGGGATCGAATAAAAGAAAAACAGATAGCAGGTGAAAGAGAAACCAGTAAATGAGCATATTTACAGAAGCAAGATAATTACTTTTCACAAAACATGTATATTTAAAGTAAGATTTTCACTAAACATGTATATTTAAACTAAGATACAATAATGTTGTTGATGGTGGTGGACTAAGAGCCTAATGAAGAAACAAATATATGTCAAATGTAATACTCCATTCTATACAAACTTATCAAGTGAAAATCTTAACTAAAAACAACAAAAATTTCATTACTATCTGCGAAAAAGTTGATAGATTTAATGTTTGCAATACATTCTATAAATACAAATGTGCCAAGAAATTTACATATGAAAACAGCACAAGTTCATCCATGAATATATTTCATTAAAAAGCACTCTCTTATTATATAAAAAAAAATGTTTTCCTTCAAAACACACTACACATAAAAGGCATAAACTGATGTCAAAATGATATTCAAGTATAATAGTGAAAAATAGGTGTACATGTAAATCATGTTCTTAGTAAGAGATTATCTTATAATTTGGGTATATTTACAGTTCAAAACAAAGAGTTTCTATATATGAGTTACAACTGACCCGAAGCACATTTATCAGATTGAAAGGATTTATCACACAGTGATTAGAACTGACTAAAAGTTGATTTGTGAAATAAACAAAAATCTCAAAATAAGTTGAAGTTTACTGGTGCAGTAAAATTGGTACCGTGAATGTTATTATGAAATATTAATAACTTTAAATTACTAAAAAATGAAACAATACTAAAGCAATGCAAAAAAAGAAAAAAAAATCTTTCAGATAAAAAAAAACCCTAAATCTTTATCTTTCCAACTTTGATTACTTGATTAGCGGTTGGGAAGAATAGTTATTTCTAATATTCCGATAAATAAAAAAACAACAAAAAAAACAGGAATTTAATTTTGAACATATTAAAAACCTTTAAAGGCATTATTTTTGAACTTTTCCCTGACATAATGAAATAGTATTTGATGTAAGAAGCCGGACCAAAATATTGGCTGTGAAATAAAATTTAGTTGTAACTCAAATGCATTAAACGATTTAAAATGTAAATAAAAAAATAGGATAATTCCTCACTAAAATATTACATGATTTACATTCATACTCACAATCAAGAAACATATCCAATTCCTACTTTTCTTTCTACTATTGTGTCACCTAATATTTATAACGGATTTTTTAAAAAATATATCCCAAATGATAAGAAAGTCCTTACATCACTAAAACTAATCCATAAATGACATGCCGAAAAAGGAAGTCATGCATCAATTATAAACATTGCACTGACAATGAAACTAATTCTTGAATAGATCATTTGAGCCTTGAGCACTTTACAATATTCTAAGTTTGTAAGAGAATGATAATCCCTTACTTCATGATTAGTACTCGCTAATGCTCGTACTTAATCATGAAGAAAGGGATTATCATTCTCTTACATATACTTAGTATATCTTGTTTAAGCCATGCCCACAAGGAAAGGGTTGTTTAATCTTATTTTTAATGGATTCAAAGAAATCTAAATTATATATAAATAGCACCATGATATCTGTTTATAGAAATCTAGATGTGCAACACTTTTATCAGTGTCTTTGATCAGTTTTTTACAATGCAAAAGAAATTCCAAAATTTTTCCAAAACCTATTTATCACATATAAACCCTTATTTTGGCATAGGAATATTAGTAAAAATCTATAAAATCATATATCCTTTTCATTATTATAAATCACTCATCTGTGAAATAGGTTAACATTTATTTTTATTTTGTTTCAACCAGTTTTGGAATATAATGGAGAAATATATATAGATTTCAACTATAAATGAAAACAGGGACAGTCTATACTAACAGGACTGGTCACTTATAATCATTTCTATAAAATTTGCAGACAGAACTGTGCAGTTGCTGACTTCATAGCAAATCATTTCACATTTACGAAGTGTTCTTCATAACTATAGGTTCAAGTTTAATGAAGTAACATTTGATGAAATTTTATACATTTTGTCATTGCAAAATGCTGTTTAAAGTATAACCTTTGAACTTTGATGTATTTAGTTAGTAAATTTCAAGTGGCCGCAATCTTGTTCAATATGTCACCCCTTTTGCACGACTGGAGTATTCTTAAAAACAATATGTCTCAGTTTAATAATTTAACATTCTTTTAAAATCTTATATTTTTTGTCATGGTAACTGGCTATTAATCAGATTTTATATTAAAAATATTAAATTACAATGTACCTAGAAATGTGCAAATAACTACTAGCTTCGTATATCAGAGATTGTTGGGTGGTAGCTTTACACAGGAGGCGGATATTTATTTAAGTCAATATAGACGAGTCCCGTTAGTATAGAAAGTACCTGATGAAAAGCAATTACTTATTCTCAAATGAAAATCAATGCAAGATCAGTAAGCCAGTATTTCAATTCTGTATAATTTTAATATCAAAACCAAGATAAATGCTACAAAATTTTATAAAAGTGAAATCCTGACCAAATGCAAATACTTTGCTCTAAGTGAGTGTTTAGAACTTTTCCTAAAATGTTGGTGACAGATACTTTTAATGGCACTGGGGATATCAAATATGTATAAGGATCACAAATGTATCAATTTCGAAGACTTTAAAGTAATCTTTTATTCAATCCAGATTAGGAAATTATTCATAATGAGAGATTTTTAATCCCATACAGAATTTATCATGATCATTAACAGTTTATGGTTCTTATAACAAAATTTATTGCATCATTATCAAAGAATTTCATTAACCCAGCTACAAAAATAAATTTTTGTACATTGAAATTATCATGAACTATAAACAATTTTGGAAGTAAAACTAATCTATATTTTCTTCTTCGTGTCTTTGTTTATACTCCTCTATAGTTTTGTGGATAGTTTCTGAGTTGTATTTGCATTTAACACAGCCACAGGCACATGTGAATTGCTTCCATTTTATCATCCAGAACTTCTCACCATAGTCAAACCTGTAAAAAAACAAACAAACTACAACTGTGAGTGAACTCACAAAAAGGATACCCTTGTCATGAAATTCTATTATCTCCCCTTTGAAATGATGGGTAAGGATTATTTTTCTTTAAGCATTTCCTTTGAATCTGGTAGTTTTCTACAACAGTTCAAAAATTTTCATCAACATCTTTCTTGCCATATGGAAGGAGTTGCACTTATAAGAATCTTTTGATTATCACATATTGCAATAATCGATTTTATAGTTAAATTATCTCCCCTTTAACAAATTGGACTGTGATTATATTTCTTTATGGACATCCTCCGGTAAAATTCTACAACCGTGTGAAGTTTCTCTAATATCAGTCTATCTGTTTAGAAATATATGTACATGTTTAATCTACTATATTTCATTACTTTCCATCTAAAAGTGCCTGTACCAAGTCATTACTTAGTGTTTTCCTGTTGCAGTTTGTAGTTTTTTGGTTTTAAAATTGGAGTGTTAAAGAACACTAATATCTATGATCATTGCGACTTATTACAGTCCTTATACAAGTTATGTCAGCAAGCTGGCTTAAATAAATGCATTAATAGTTTTACCCTAATTCCTCATTGGCTTTGATATCCCTTGATGAGAAAAAACAGATTCTAGGAAATCTCAGATCTTGATGGTCCACAAATACTTTAACTGGAATGATGTTTGGTTCACAGAGATGATTAATAAATCTACTTATGTTACCATATCTACGTGCATCAATACAGTAGGTATCACCATCCTAAAAAATAGCAAATTTTCTTTATATGCACCACAGTCTCCTCAATGTATGAGTTTATAGAAAAAAAAATGAGGGGTGTCCATGGGACACAGATGATGCCCCCGCTTGCATATCATATAAAGTTATAAAGGGACATAACTGAAGAACGGTATAAGTGACGCTACTCAAATTTGTACTTGATCTGAGTGTTGTGGTAATAAGTATTGTGTAGAAGTTTCATAACATATGGTTGAGGCAACCTTAAGTTAGAGAACAGAAACGAAAAATTCAGCATTTTTTCCATTTGTAAAGGGGCATTACTCTAGAACAGTAAAAGTGACGCCACCAAAATTCAAACTAGATCTGTATTTTGTGGTAATAAGCATTGTGTATAAGTTTCATAACATTAGGTTGAGGTAAACTTAAGTTGTAGAACGGAAACAAAAAATTAAGCAATTTTTCCATTTGTAAATGGGCATAACTCTAGAACGGTTAAAATGACGCCACCAAAATTCAAACTTGATCTGTGTTTTGTGGTAATAAGCATTGTGTATAAGTTTCATAACATTTGGTTCAGGCAAACTAAAGTAAGAGTACGGAAACCAACTTTGGGACGTATGGACGTACAGACGGACAAGGGTAAAACTTAATGCCCCCTCCGCCAGGACGGGGGCATAAAAATAGAAAAGATTATTTATATATACCACACTTTCAAGGGTACAAGTTTTTATAATCAATAGGTGTGCCAGGAAGCATGATATGCCCCATCATATTCATATTAAAATTGTTGCAAGAATAAAATGGAATAAAGATGATGGATGACTGTTCAATGTTCAGCAGCTAATTAAATGCATATATGCAAGATGAGAACATATTGATGCAATATGAATATTAAAACTGCTTTAAACACCTACACGCTGACAATTCTTTACGTTCTAGATCACAAGGTAACAGTCCGCAGGAAGATATGTGGCATTATCCGGACACAATATTCTGACTCTGAGCTGAAAAGCTGCTCTTACTCCTTAATGCTGTGTGCTTAGCACAGAAACACCAAATACCAATTTTAGTCTTTGGTTTGACCTGGCCGGAGTTCGGAACCCACAACCTCCTGCAATCGGGTCAAACACGCTGCCAAGAGACCACCGAGGTGTTTAAATGGAATATTGTAGAGGGCTTTAAATCAGTAGCCATTCTAATGGCTGGCAGAAAAACTTGCAAATGACAACTGTCATAAAATTTTAAAACTTGAAAGCTAGTTTACTTTTATCATTCCAATATACATGTAGTTTCAAGTAAAATTTAATTTTATTTTGTCTTAAATCTGATAAACCATAATCAGTTCCATCTAAGACAGGCACATATCAAAACAAGTGAGACTGTGAGCTACTGCTCATTGATGATACCCCCGCCCAAATATTTCGGTAAACAGGAAGTTGTTGAGTGATGAATCTGAAAACACATCACACGGTATAGCTGACTCACATAAACCCTGAAACCAAATTTCAGAAATCCTTGTACTGTAGTTCCTGAGATAAATGTGACGAAAAATATTCATGGGACGGACGGACAGACAGAGGTACAACAGTATAGGGACTGACGGATGGATGGACAGGTAAAACAGTATACCCTTGAAATATTCTTTATATTAATCAAGCTTGACTGAAAACAAAATTCAAGTTCTGTAAATTCAGAAATTGTGGATATTTCATTTATGGTACTGAAACAGCTACTGGCATTTGTTGGAGTGTATTTAGAATCCAATCAATAAATGCAAGGAGTCAATTCTAATTATTCAGTGCAAAATTTGCTCATTACAGATGCAAAATTAAGTCTTTTGGACTAAGGATTATTTAATAAAACCTTACTCTGTTGTCCAGGTCAAATAAGTAGGAGTCATCTTCTCTGCTGTCTGCCTCAGAATCAGATAACAATTCCCCAATATATCTGAAAGTACATAATGATTGTTTTGACTGATCTTTTATCTTTATTTTCAACTGATTTAATGTATCATAATACCATACAATATGCTAATGATGTTTCACAATTTGAAGTACTCTTGACCTGGTTATCAAATCAAACAATTACAATAATCAAAAAATGTTATCTAAAAGAAGTATATGGGAAAAAGTGAAATAACAAAAATACCTAACTCTGAGGAAAATTTAAAACGGAAAGTCCTGTATCAAACGGCAAAATCAAAAGTTCAAACACATCAAACGAATGGAAAACAACTGTCTTATTCCTGGAGTTTTATTTGACATTACTTTTGTATAATGAATCACACTTCTTTGACTCTAAATTCAGGTTCATGGAGTCTATACCTTACCTATAAATACATGTGAAGCTGACTATAGTCAATGTATGTACACTGGAAGCAATAGTCAGTTAAGTTGATTGGGAATTGGTAAACATTTGAAAGCATTTGGTTCTGATCATTTTATCTCAACTATTATCATTGAATTTGTTAAGACACACATTTTGACCTAATCATTAATAAATGAACTATGAATATGAGGCATACTTACTCGCAAATAAAAGATCCTTTGGGTATATCTAACAAAGTAATAACTCCCCAGCCACGGCCTTCTGTTCTAATTAATTTCATTCGACATCTAAAAAACAGTTTAATAACATTTTTGTATTACTTTATGTTACATACTGAACAAATTCAAAAAAGGCATTACTGTGAGCTATGTGAAATCATTTGATTTCTTTTATGACTGGGAGATCATAGCATTCCATTGCAACATTATGTTCAGATATAATAGCGTTTGGTTGGTTAAGATTACTGCAACAGTAAGGTAGGTAAAATTAGATTTTGGTATAAAAAATCCCAGTCTCCAAATAGGGCAGGTTAACATCTCTCCATGTCAATAAAGTTCTCATTTTCTCTTTCTTTTATAAATAGCAGTTCTTAATTACTTCCATAATATTGCATAGTAGGTAAGATTACTGCAAATATGTTTTAAAGTTGCATTGTTTTTTAAGACGTGTGTGTATGTATATATATATATATATATACAAGTCTAAATTGAAAACAATGTTCAAACCTATGATTGCCTTGAATAAAAACCACAATTTTTATATGTGTGCATGCAAAACAAATTTCTTGTAGAGGGGTCTAAATACAACGCAAACAACATTTTCCAAAAGACCAAAAAAATATACATAACTACTCTAAATATCAGCACAACAATGTTAAATCTACAAATTTGCGGAAGCAAATTTTTGTTCTTCCCTTGCCAGGATTCGAACCTATGCATATATATATATGTTATTTTAATAGTTATATGTTATTTTAAGAGTTGATTTGAGAAGCTCACTAGAGCTTGTGTTTATGTAGTTTATTGAATATTGACTTTTAATAAAACTTTGAATTGAATTGAATGTTTTAGAAACAAGTAAAACAGTTAGCTACTGCTCACTTATGATACCCTCACTTAAGAATTTGGTAAACAGGAAGTTAATGAGTGATGAATCTGAACACACATCACATAGTAAAGCATGATCACATAAGCCTGATAACAAATTTCAGGGAGCTCTTATTTGAAGTTCCCTAGAAAAATGTGACGAAATTTTCATACATGGCCCTTTTGTGTTAAAATAGACAGTTGTATGATATGGTATGATACTAAACCCCTAACTGGAGGGATTGTGCTTGATTTTCATATGATGAAGACATAATCTTTCAATCAGTTTAATTGAGGTCTGGAGCTGGCATGTCAGTAACTGCTAGTAGTCCTTTGTTAATTTATGTATCATTGTCATTTTGCTTAGTTTCTTTTGTTACCTATTCTGACATCGGACTGAGACTTCTTTTGAACTGAGTTTAAATTTCAGGGGTTTCATAATCTTTCATGTTGACCGGTACATTCCTATCTGTAGGTGGTACTTTTCAATATATGCAATGAACATCTTATTTAAAAATTCCTGAATTCAGGCGGTACTTATCAGTAGCAAAGGAGGGTAAAAGTACCAGGTACCGCCTCCTAATTTATGGCCTGAGTTTTACTCTGCGTATTGCTGTGTGTTTGTTTATTCTACATTGGCTAGAGGAATAGGGGGAGGGTTGAGATCTCACAAAACATGTTTAACCCCGCCGCATTTTTGCGCCTGTCCCAAGTCCAGAGCCTCTGGCCTATGTTAGTCTTGTAAGTTTTTTAATTTTAGTTCATTTATATGTTTTGGAGTTTAGTGTGATGTCCATTTTCAATGAACTAGTACACATTTTTGTTTAGGGGCCAGCTGAAGCCCGCCTCTGGGTGTGGGATTTTCTTGCTGTGTTGTTGAAGACCCATTGATAGACTTCGGCTGTTTTCTGCTCTTTGGTCGGATTGTTGTCTCTTTGACACATTCCCCATTTCCATTTTCAATTTATTTAATTAATCGGTTAACAGGTAGATGATCAGAAATTAATCTGAAAATGCATCACACATAAAAGCATGCAGTCATGAAGCCCGATAACAATTTTTAGTTTAGGAAAACTAGAAAAATTAGACGAAAATTTCATATATAGTAATTATGTGTTAGAATATATAAGTATTCAGTAAAAAGGAAAAAGAGGATCAATGGATCTGAAGCATTACACAGTATACCACATTATCACATGAAAACTGATAACAAATTTAAGAAAGCTCTGATTTGTAGTGCCTGAGAAAAATGAGACGGAATTACATGGGACAGACATAGATATAAAACAGTATATCATCAGCCCCTCCTTTAGAGCAGTGGTGAAAAAGTATTAAATCATGAAGTTTAAGCATGAAATCATTATATACATATTACCATTTAATACTTATTTGGAATAATTCTCTTAATATTCATATTATATACATGACATATTCATATCTAGTGCTGACAGACAATGTCAAAACTTACGTAATTCCATTTTGAACGACTCGGTTATTACAAGTACTCCAGCATCTGCATCCAACATTACATTCAAATATCAATGGAGGCTCGGACATGTTAAATTCTGGCACTAAATGATATGTCTAAAATATAATATATATTTTGATGTCAAAATTTTTACTTATGCAATCTGATCTGCAATAGTAAATTATTCTCTGCAATGTAGCCTATAGTCAAAGAGTTTGAGTATGATAACAAAGGTTGTCATGACAAAATTATAGTTTGTACATTGACATTCTACCATAGTAGCTGATACTGATTTTTGCTTCATACTTGCATGAGCTTCAGATCAAATTCATAACAGTTACCTTAATTTTGCAAAATTGAATTCCTTTGATTCAGAAAAATTGTACTCATATATTGAGCAGATCTTCTGTATGTATTACAACAAGAGGCAGGAGCCTGAAGTGTCCACTTAGCATAACTACAACAAGGGACAAGAGCCTGAAATGTCCACTTAGCATAACTACAATAAGAGACAAGAGCCTGAAATGTCTACTTAGCATAACTACAACAAGAGAGAATAGCCTGAAATGTCCACTTAGCATTATTACAACAAAAGGCAAGAGGCTGAAGTGTCCACTTAGCATAACTACAACAAGAGACAAGATCCTGAAATGTCCAGTTAGCATAACTACAACAAGAGACAAGAGCCTGAAATGTCCACTTAGCATTACTACAACAAAAGGCAAGAGCCTGAAATGTCTACTTAGCATAACTACAACAAAAGCATGAGCCTGAAATGTCCACTTAGCATAACAACAACAAAAGACAAGAGCCTGAAATGTCTACTTAGCATAACTACAACAAGAGACAAGAGCATGAAATGTCCACTTAGCATAACTACAACAAGAGACAAGAGCCTGAAATGTCCACTTAGCATTACTACAACAAAATGCAGGAGCCTGAAACATCCAACTGGCCAATCTATGACAAGAGGAGCAAGCCTGAAAAACCCACTATGCAAACTACAACAAGAGGCAAGAGGCAGGAGCATGTAACACCAACTTAGAAAATCTGTAACAAGAAGCAGGAGACTGAAAAACCCACTTGGCAAATCTATAACAAGAGGCAGGAGACTGAATATAACAAGAGGCAGGAGCCTAAAACACCCACATGACAAATCTATAACAAGAGGCAGGAGACTGACACACCCACTTGGCAAATCTATAACAAGAGGCAGGAGCCAAAAACACCCACTTAGAAAATCTATAACAAGAGACTGATACACCCACTTGGCAAATCTATAACAAGAGGCAGGAGACTGAATATAACAAGAGGCAGGAGCCTAAAACACCCACATGACAAATCTATAACAAGAGGCAGGAGACTGACACACCCACTTGGCAAATCTATAACAAGAGGCAGGAGCCAAAAACACCCACTTAGAAAATCTATAACAAGAGACTGATACACCCACTTGGCAAATCTATAACAAGAGGCAGGAGCATAAAACGGCCACTTGGCAAATCTATGACAAAAGGCAGGAGCTTATAACACCCACTTGACAAATCTATAACAAGAGGCAGAAGCCTAAAACACCAACTTTGGCAAATTTTTAACAAGAGCTAGCAGTCATTTTGAACTTCCAACCTGCACCAAATTAACAACACTAGTTTAGTTTCAATTGGTTCTCCGGTTAATTAAAGTACTGTATATTCAGAAATTATTGCGATGTTTTTATTATTGCGAAAAATGAGACAGGGTTATAATCGCAATAATTTAAACTCGCATTTTGAAATTTTTTATTTGAACTAAACAGGATTTTTCTCAATATAGCAAAAATTAAAATCGCATTTTAGTCTAAAATGACAAAATTGCAATAATAAATGCACACAACAATTTCTGAATTTACAGTACCTTGTAAAAACATTTATTATGTTATAAAGACCATCCCTAAATGGTTTGATTTTATTTAACTTCATGGATTCTTGAAGAACAAATCTAAATCAATTTCTGTTAGTTTCAGTTGAGCTTAAACTTATGTCATAGATAAGATCATTCAGATTTTACTTTGCTTAATCCACCATGATCAAAGTCTGAGCCTCTTTATATCTTGTTTGCTGCAAACTAAGCATTCCTGTCATATTGACACACCCATCTTACCTTGTCATACCAACATCTGATACTGTTTCTACCACATACACAATACATAGAGGAACAATCATCAGAACAACGACAACTCTGTAAAGAAAAATAATAACTCATACTTAACATCTATAAAATAATTCTTCTAATACATATTTACAACTGTGGTATTTGATGTTGTTTGACTGATAACTTCTCATTGGACATATTTTTCACATAAAATTCAACAGTATACATATAGACAATTGTTTTTATGCTATTTGTAGGTGGTAATATAAATTTGTAAGAGGTTCCATGGAACCCTGTGTCTCGCCTGCAATTGCTGCTGTCAGTGTAAAGGTGTAATGTTGACTTAGAAAGTGAGTCCATTTATCAGTAAAATACAGAATTTAAAAAAAAATTCAAACTTTTTCTTAAGATGCTATTTTTTGGTCTTGAAGATTGATTAGCTTCTGTCCAAAATTTCTAACAATCCATGAAGGTTAACAAATTGATCATGTCAAAAATATTTAATCCCAGACTGTCTGTAAAAGTTAACTGTAATAAACGAAGTCCACCTATCAGAAAAATACTGAAATGTAAAAAATATGTTTTCAAAAGTTTGACTCGGACATTATCTCTTAATCGTAAATAACCTTCTGCAAAAGTTTCATTAAATTCTATGAAGGCTTGACAAAGTAATTAATGCTTAACAAACTTTAACCCCAGACTGTATTTACTTGTTGACTGTAAAAAAACTAGGTCCATTTATCAGTAAAATACTGAAAAATTTTGCTCTGGATTCTGTCTTTTGGTCATAAACAAGCTTCTGTACAAATTTCATAAAATTCCATGAAGGTTTGACTACGTTACTGATGACTGAAAAAACTTTAACCTCATACTAAATCTAAATGTTAACTGTAAAAAAAAAAAAAAAAAAAACGAAGTCCATTTATCAGTAAAATACAGACAAATGAAAATAAATATTTTTAAAATTTTGCTCTAGACACTGTATTTTGGTCATAAACAAGCTTCTGTCCAAATTTCATAAAATTCCATGAAGGTTTCATAAAGTTATTGATATTTAAAATAAAATGCTCTGCTGGGCGCAGCTTGATAGGACCGCAGAGGTCGAACCCTGAACAGTTGGGGCAAGTATGGACACAACATTCAAGCTTGATACAGCATTGAATTTGGATTGTGATTAAATATTTGACACAGCATAGGTTTCTGACACAGAATGAATGTGGTCTAAGAATTTAAAATTTTTTAATTTACCTATTCAAACCATATCATTATTATTTGCTCTTATATATAAATCAGAAATAACCAATTTAAAATGGAAAATTTTAAAGAAAAAAAAATCCCTCCCCCAAATTTTTTGAACCCACTTATGATTCATCACCCCCAAACTCAATCCCAGCCTTCCCTTTGTGGTATGGTACCTTGCAGTACAATTTCAGAGAGATCCATACACTTGAACACAAGTTATTGTCTGGAAACTAGAAAAATGCTTGTTTTTAAGGCCCCTTTTTGGCCCCAAATTCCTTAACGTTTAGGGCAATTACCCCCAAACTCAAACCCAGCTTTCCCTTTGTGATATGGAACCTTGTAGTACAATTTCAGAAAGATCCATACACTTACACAAAAGTTATTGTCCTGAAACTAGAAAAATGCTTGTTTTTTGCCCCTTTTTGGCCCCTAATTCCTAAAATTTTGAGGCAATTACCCCCAAAATCAATCCCAGCCTTCCCTTTGTGGTATGGTACCTTGCAGTACAATTTCAGAGAGATCCATACTCTTTAACACAAGTTATTGTCTAGAAACTAGAAAAATGCTTGTTTTTTGCCCCTTATTCCTAAATGTTTTGGGTAATTACCCCCAAACTCAATTCCAACTTTCCCTAAATGTGATATGGAACCTTGAAGTACAATTTCAGAAAGATCCATACACTTACACACAAGTTATTATCATGAAACTAGAAAAATGCTTGTTTTTTGCCTCTAATTCCTAAAATTTTGAGGCAATTACCCCCAAAATCAATCCCAGCATTCCCTTTGTGATATGGAACCTTGTGGTACAATGTCAGAGAGATCCATACACTTGAACACAAGTTATTGTATGGAAACTAGAAAAATGCTTATTTTTGGCCCCTTATTCCTTAACATTTTGGGCAATTACCCCCAAACTCAATTCCAGCTTTCCCTTTGTGATATGGAACTTTGTAGTACAATTTCAGAAAGATCCATACACTTACACACAAGTTATTATCATGAAACTAGAAAAATGCTTGTTTTTTGCCCCTTTTTTGGCCCCTAATTCCTAAAATTTTGAGGCAATTACCCCCAAAATCAATCCCAGCATTCCCTTTGTGATATGGAACCTTGTGGTACAATGTCAGAGAGATCCATACACTAACACACAAGTTATGTCTGGAAGTTACAAAAATGCTTATTTTTGACCCCTAATTCCTTAACTGTTGGTACCATAACCCCCAAAATCAATTCCAACCTTCCTTTTGTGGTATTGAACCTTATGGTAAAATTTCATAGAGATCCATTCACTTAAACTAAAGTTAGAGTGCGAAAACCAATGTGTCTTAGGACGACGACGACGACACCAAGGTCATACCAATATACGACCACAAAATTTTTTTGCGGTCGTATAAAAAACTTTAAACATAGACTGAACCTAAATGTTGACGCCACTGACAGAGTCTATTATTGCTATTTTTGCTTGAGCGACATAAATATTGCAGGCTCGACAAAAATCTATCAAAAACCATTCAAGTCAACATATAGCTTACGTGTAAAAGATTTTTGTAATCAAAACATAATATATATTATCGTTTTGAATTTTAACCTTACTATTACCCAACAGTAAAATCTCCTTACTTTTTCATACAACTTAAAGATAAAAATTGTTACAATTACAACACAGAGAAAGCAGCTCAATAGTAAACTGACAAATTAATAATCATGGGATACTTCATGGATTCAGCAGATAAAATTGAAACAATGTAATAAGAATATTAACAATCCTTTCCTATAAGGAGTAAACTGATGATTTGGGTCATGTGACGTTTTTTAATATCTTGTCCAGGTGGTTATTTTTGTTTGTTTTAACAGTTTCTATCTACTATAGTTTCTGCTAAAACACTAAAAGAGGTTGAATCGTCATTCAAGGGCAATAATGAGTTGACTGATGATTTCATTGATGTTGACTTTTAGTAGGTCTTGTTCTGCTAATTAAATTCATATTTAGGCCACAGAAGCATTACCTGGAGACTACTAATTGTCCTGTTTATATGAAGATCAGCAGTTTCTACATTTGCAGTGACATACTGATAGTCTGTAGGTAAGGGTTCATCATCTGTACCATTATAAACCGGAATTGGAATGTTCTCTCTACCCATGGACACATCTCTGTAATATATACAGAAATAATATTGTAAGACATCTCAAAAACATTTAAGAGAACCTTTATTGAGCAAGCTTACATACCCCACGCCCCCTATGTAAAAGGCATAAGCATATAGATAACACATTTTTTTCCTGTTTACTTTAAGATAATAATTCTTTTTGTTTATAATTTCAGGCAGTAATATTGTGTTACAAATATAAATTTCAGTAACTATTACCATGACCTTAGACCTAGCTACTTAAAAATCAATAGGAATCTTCCTCTTTTAATGTGTGACCATATATCCAAGTAAGGTTACAAACTCATATGTGGTATGCGATTTAGCATCTGAGATCCACTTTTCTGCTCGAATGCCAGCCTATTTTAATTAACAATGACCTTGAATTTGGATGTAGTGTCCTCAAAATCATTATATGTGACCATATATCCAAATAAGGTTGTAATCTCTTGTGTAATATTTGCTTTGACATCCAGAAACCACTTTTCTTATAATAAAAGAAATTATGTAAAAACAGTTCAATTCTTGTATATTATCATTCCCCCCCCCCCCCCTCTTTAATTTCTTACTTAACAATGAGTGTAAACTACAAAATGCCAGCTTTTATATTTAAAAAGAAAGGAAAATAAATGATCAGAGCAATTTTTTGGCCCCTGAAATTACAAAAACACTGAAGTACTTCACTACGTTTAAAATAATTTTATTGACAAGCTTAACAGGTCAGAACTGTGAAATTCATTTTCCTCAATAAAAATGCCAACAATTATCAAAGAATACCTAGCGAGTAAAGATTTTACATCTGCTTTAATCACCTGTGTATTAATTTTTCTGTTCTTCCAGTACGACTGGCAGCAAAACCTTTTAACTGTTTATTGACTTTCAGAGCAAGACAAACTTGACTGTCCTCGTCCAAACAACACTGTATTGGACTGTCATTTTCACTATTTCTCAACTCAACATCAGCTCCTCTTGCTAAAAATAACCTGCAATACAGATACAGAAATACTTTATTTTATGTACAACTCATTATATGCCTTTTCTTTATTTTAACATTAACATTAGCAATTTGCTTGCTAAGTCCATATTCTCTTTTTGTATTATATCTATCTCAACAATTAAACTTCACAAAAGCTGAATCAAAATGATGTCATTGATTATAGATGATAAATGCTCTCTTTATACTCTTTACTGCAATTTTGCAAAGAGCAATTAAAGATTACCAATCTCACTTTGAAATCAGATTTCCCTGCTGTAAATTGTATGGATATTGTTGCCATTATACTTTTGATAATCAGATTAAAAAAATCAGAAAAATCTTTTTGAAATGGCAAGAAATTTAAATAATCTATATGGAAATGAGATGTGCCAGTGCTAATACAACTGCTTACCAAATATCATTGACTTACCAGTGGTGGTTCCCCATAAACTTGACCTAATCACAAACATATACTTTGTTGATGCTATTGATGACAGAAACAGCACGCCTAAGTCTCGCTTTTTTCCACTTGTCGATGCAAGACAAGTGTAAATGGTAACCATTTCTATTAGAGGGTATGAACACCAATAAGATGTCAATTTACAATTTTGATCATGCTGACTTCTTTGTAGGTCTTGTCTAGCAAATAATTTTTGCTCTGTACACCAAGGCTTCCAAAACGGTCATATTTGCCGGACAAATATAAATTTATCAAACATTGTCCGACTGGGCCAAGCATGAAACGGACATCCTACGTGGGTTTGCCATTTCAACGTTCATGTAATTCAGAAAAATCAACCATTTTGACTTGACCTTGTGCTTTAAACAGCCAAACTTTTACAGTCATAAAAGTGAGTCACTATAAACAGGCCCTACTATAATCCACTCTCATTAAAATCAAGGTTAATTAGGTGTCTAACAGGTGAGATTTACCTGTGATCACCTGTGTAAGGTAAACTATTTGTAATGGACATCAATCGAACTTTTTGGAAGTTTTTTTATAAAATTAATAACATTCCTGGTTTAAATCTAACTACTTTTTAGCAAAACAGATTTAGAATATCAGAAAAACGTATTTAAAACAATAAGATCATAGTTAACAAAGTTGGTAAAAAAGTTTAGACAGATAGAAGCACATCGATTAAAATATTAGAAATGTGCGCATGTGCACAAGTGTGATATTAATTATTTAATAATGCGTCTGAATTCATCCAAAACGATAAAAATGTCATTTATACCATTATCTTACATTCATCTCAAGTATTTTCCCTCAGAAATAATGTGGAAAGAACTGCTTAAACTCAACAATGCTAGATAAAAATACATGGATTTTGCACAACCATCGCCGTTCCGCTTTCTATCATCGTCTAGTAAATATCCGGTCTGGAAAACGTGTTTATCAAATTACAAAGCTGGTCCTCGACTGACTAATACACTTTGTTAAGTCTGCGGTTCGAACCATGCACTAATTGTTAATGTCAAAAATGGAATTTATATAAAAACTGAAAAAGTATAAAGTCTATGAAGTTTATCGTCCTTTAAGAGTTTAATGGCTTTATCATATAGTTATGTCCATCTTTTGTTATGTGTAACCTGTCTAAAGGGATAAAAAACGGGATTGAAAAAATGTTCTGGCTGGCTCAAATATTTTTTGGAAGCCCTGATATACATTTAGTTTTTCAGAAAATAACTTAAATTTGCTGGAGTATAATGATAACTAAATATTACATTACATAACTTTGCTACAAAAGCTATAGGTATTTTGCAGATGTTATTACTTAATAAAGAATATTGTAGAGTGAAATTAGGAATTCCTATAAACCAATCCAATACTTACACAACACATTCATAGTGATTCTGTCTAGCTGCAATATGTCTGAAAATAAATACAATACACAAATTAACTGAGAATGCATTCCATTTATTTAATATTATGATTACAAATTTCATACTGATGATTCAAATAAAACAGTATGCTAACATGTTAAACATTCTGTATGTACGTGTCCCAAGCCAGGAGCCTGTAATTTAAAATTCGATGCTGTATATAATATTTGGGTTTTTTTTCTGTTTATTCTTTTGTTCCTAAATCAGGCTATTAGTTTTCAATTTTGAATTGTTTTACATTTGTGGTTTCAAGGCCTCTCATAGCCTGCTTTGCAGTATGATTTTACTCATTGTTGAGGGCTATACAGTGATTTTTTTGTTGCTAACTTCTACATCATTTGGTCTCTGGTGGAGAGCAATCATACCACATCTTATTTTTTTTTATAACAGTTAATAAAATAAATGGAGCAAGATGATGTCCCCGCTTGTATATAGCCTCATAAAGGGACATTACTCAAGAACGGTAAAAGTGACGCCACCTAAATTCGAACTTGATCTGAGTTTTATGATAATAAGCATTGTGTATAAGTTTCATAACATTTGGTTGAAGCAAACTTAGTAAGTGAATGGAAACAAATTCAGCAATTTTTCAATTTGAAAAGGGCATAACTCTAGAACGGTGAAAGTGATGCCACTCAAATTCAAATTTGATCTGTCTTTTGTGGTAATAAGCATTGTGTATAAGTTTCATAACATTTGGTCGAGGCAAACTAAAGTTGGAGAACGAAAACCATTTATTGTATGTACCGAAGGGCAGACATTAAAGGGTAACACTGCAGCTGGGGTATAAAAAACCTACACAAAATGAATAAAAAATTATACTGTATAAAAGAAAGCTTGCAAATACTGAACAGAAGCTCAAGTACTAAAACTGCCAAAAAGAAATCTTATCATCCTACACTTAAACGAAGATTTCATACAGAAACAATCATAAACAGTTCAGTAGGGTATTATCTCAAGCAATGCAGAAAACAAACTGTACAGAAATGCATTTGTAACAATCTGTTTAATTTGGTTTATATGAGCTCTTTGATTTTGTTAAAGCTAGAATTTTTTTTAAAGACCAACATGCACACTTATCCCAAAAAATCCTTATGACTAGTTTTTTTTTTATAGCCTAGCTTTGCCTATGAATAATGGTAGATTAAAACACATATAAACAAACTAAACAACTTACAGTACACCTACATACTCTTTAAAAACTTACAATGGTCTATCTCCATGTTCATTTGGAGCATCCAATGTACAGCCACCATTTAAAAACATTTCACAAATATCTACACTGCCTGAATATGCTGCCCAATGTAAACTAGTGTTTTCTTCCTGAAATAAACACAGATTTTTCTTATGTTTTGAAAAAACAACAAAGATTTCTTGAAGAAAAAAATATGTTTCATTCTCAATACACTTTATCTATAAAGGGTTTTGTGGATTAATATACTTCAGTGGAAAGAGCAAGAAAGACGATATACTACAGTGGAAAGAGCAAGAAAGATGTACAAGTGAAATCTAAATTTGAAAGATTGTGTATTCTAAAATTAAAAGTTATGTTGAAATGATGAAGATTGCAGATATAAACAATGATGCTGTAATTCTGAGTATTTTGAAACTTTACAATACAAATTTGAGGCTAAAATTATGTGCTCCAAAAGGAATGTTGATAAATGTTAAATTTACTTTGCTTACATTATGTAATGAATGTCATCATCAGTATTCATAAAGAACTATATACTTTTGAATGATGAAAGATAATAAAGTAAATGTAAGGTAGTTTGTATTGATTTAAAATCAAACAAAGCTGAAAACATCTGATGTCAACTTCTTACACTGGTTTGTTCATGTGATGGTATTTGTTTTTTTTGCATCAAACTTTTAAAAATTAACAGAAATTCACCATGCGTCATTTTCATGTCATCTGCAAAGCTGAACTAAAAAATGTTAACATCTTGAACTGGAAGTGGTCTTGTTCGTTTGCATCAGTCATCAACAGCTTTACAGAAATTCATCTTGTACCATTTTAAATACAAACAAATGCAAAAAAGAAAAGTTTTTTGACTGGTATGCCATAAGAATAGATATAACTGTCATGTTAGCTTTGAAGACATAAAACTTTTTTTTATTACATCTGTAAAATCTTAATACTGCCTTCAAAATACCATTTTAATTTCATGTCAATCCTATTAAACAATATAGGTTTCATCCCCACCATAAAATAATTTACTAAATAGTGCTTACTTTATCTTTTAGTGTGGACTGAGCTCCTTGGTTAAGAAGAAATTTAACTGTAGAAACTAACTTATGTTCTGATGCCCAGATAATGGGAGTCCAGCCACCATCATCCTGTAATGTTAATAAAATGTTTGCAATTTCCATTTCTGTTTGATTTAACACAATATTTTGTGGCTTTAAACATGTAAATTAACAATAAGTTGCACACATTATCGTGCTAAGCATACCCCCTTTATTAATTAAAAGTATCAAAAAACAGGGAGTAAGTGTCTAACAGATCCAAAAAGTTATCCGGTTACAACTAAATTTATTTAAGTTCATTCAACATATTGAAAATTCAGAGTACAGTCGAACCTCATTATGTCGAAGTCAAAGGGACCCGACAAAAGTATTCAACTTATCCAAGGTTGAGTGTGTAGTCAAAAATTTTGAATTCATGAGATACGGTATAAGATTTGTGTTAACTAGATATTTTGAACAGTATGCCTTTTTGTATGACCCTTTGTTATTGTGTATTCTATCTCCATATTTTGGGACCTTCATGATAATTAAACACATAAGGAGATACAAAACATTCACAAATAAAACGATACACAAATATTTACAAAGGTCAGTCATCATACACTTTGAAATCACTCACAAAATGAAACAAGTTCTAAAAGATCTCTGATGATAGAAAGTTGTCTGCTTTGAATTCAATTATTATAATTTGCAGTGTTTTCCCCAGGCTGTTTTAGCGTCGCGGCACCGAGACGCTATATTTTTTTCCCGTGATGCGACGCTATAATTATTTTGAGGATGCTATTTTTCTTGTCCGCAAACTTTCATCTAGTTACCGCTTGTGATCATAAAAATTATATCACCTTTAATTGTAATCCCTTAAAGTCGGACAATAGAGGCAATTTAGTGTGATTAAATAGGCGTTAATTGCCCTTTGGGTGATAACTGTTTGGATACGAATACCCCAAGCTGACACTTATGACATGACTAATACCACGTGGTCCAATCGCAAATTTCGACATTGAAAAAATGTAATCAGAAAATCATAAACAATTCGAAATCTATGTTTGCTTAATGTAAATCCAAAGATACAAACGATTTATCTCTTTAGAAAAGAGGTTTGGTCTTTTGTTTTTACAACTTTCAAAAAATTATTTTCCTTCCCTTCCGGTACTACTTGACTATCGAGAGCCTATATTAAACATTTTGATTTTGAGCTAAATAAGTTTGATACTTCTTTAGAAAGTGATCAGAATTGGCTTTTGTTAACGTTTTAATCCGTTTAATGCATTAAAAGCGTCATATTCATTCCCAATCTCTTGTCAAACATTGTTTATTTTCGTTAATTTTTCTTTGGCCGCCATTGAATTATTTGTGTATTAAACTACGGATCGGAACTGGACCAGATATGACAAAAAATCGCATTTTTACGATAATAACTACAGATGTACAAATGGCACAGTAGACAGAAAAAATGACCCCAAAAGAGAAAACTATGCATTCCATACGCATTAACAGACTATTTGTTAGATCTCCTTGCTAAATGTATTCATTTTGGAAATGCATTGTTTCAATATACTGATTAAACTTTGTTAAAAATACATATTATTTTGATATAAAGAAACAACTGGGACTAATACATTGAGTACCAAGAAACAATGAATTTCATAGACATGATAAAGAAAATAGTTTTTTAATTGAAATTGTATTGCTATATGATACTTTCTCTTCCTTTTTTTATATAAAAATTTGTAAGGGTTCCGCGGAACCCAGTGTCTCGCCTACTTTTGCTGTTAGTAGCAGACTCAACATGGGGAAATAATTATTAAAAATTTTCCTCTAGATACTATCATTTGAATGTACGAAGCTTCTGTTCAAGTTTGGTAAGAATCCAGGATGGTTTATGAATCTAATAAATGTTTTAAAAACTTTAACTGCAGATCTAGACTGTATGTAATATTAACTGGAAGAAAAACTAAGTCCATTTATAAGTAATATACGGAAAAACAGGAATTTTTTTTTTACAAAATTTCCTTATAGATACTAGCTTTTGATCATAAAAAAGCTTCTGTCTAAGTTTGGTATAAATCCAGGATAGTTTAAGAAAGTTATTAAAATTTTGAAAACTTTAACCACAGAGTGAATGTAATGTTAACTGGCAGAAAAACTAAGTCCATTTATGAGTAAAATACGGATAAACAGTATTTTTTTTTTTACAAAATTTACTTCTGGATACAGTAGACTCCACCTAATCGGATATCGGCTATTGTAATATTATTTCAAAACACCAAACCCTTCCCTATATGTTTAATGTTAATTTTATCGGGTAAATGAATATTGGATATAAGAATATATCGGCAAATCGGATAAGAATATTCAGGTCATTTTGTTCAAAACCATGCACAATCAGATATTTTCAATGTTTTTCTGACAGGAAATGGACCCGGAAGTTACGAATTTACAATCTTGCAGACAAGAAGATTTTGTTTTTACTAAATAAAAGGAACTATTTCTTAATAAATTGTTGTCTTTAATCATTGTCTTCCTTTGTAATGTGAATTAGATGCCCTTTTACTTCAAATGGTTTGAATTTATTTATAAAATATGCAAGACTCAGTTGACAAGTTGACATTGCTGTTTGGAGAATTTTGATTAAACTCTAAATGTTCACAGAATCAGAAATATAATCTAAACTGAATGTACCTCCTTCTGAATAATTTATTGCAATATAAACATAAATCCCTTTTGACAAGAGAAATCTGACTTTTGTCAGATATATTATTTTCACTTGTGCAAAAGTAACCACATGTCATGGACGCTATTTTGGATGTTTACAAATTTGTGAGGAAGCCTCTAGAACTATGACCTAAATATAAATAGTCTTCAGAAAACGTAAACTTTATGCAATAATATTTTATCAATCATGATTATTTTCATAAATTTGATTATTTAAAGAAATAAAATTATAACAAATACGATTTTAGTTTGGAGATTCTACACAGACATGCTTAGATCTATTTATAGCCAAATTAGTTTACCTGTGTGATAATATAAATAATGGATATTAATTTGCTTACAAAACAAATAAAGACAAACTATGGATGGTAGATAATAATTCACATAAATATTTCAGGACATTTGATTTATTTTAATAAATAAAGGATTTAAAAACTGCAAACAAATTTAATCATTACATAATCAGCTGATAATTTTTTTACACAAACATCATGATGTAACTGATAAAAATCACTCCATCAATCCTCCAGCCCTTTCACATATTTAGCAATTGTCAGGGTTAGTAACATCTCAGGATTATATCTACTCATTATTGCAGAATATTCAATGAATATACATTCATCGTCTAATTGAATATACCGGGTAATCAGATATTTTTAACTGACATTTTGGGTATCCGATTTGCTGGAGACTACTGTACTATTGTATGATCATAAACAAGCTTCTGTCCAAGTTTGGTGAAATCCAGGATAGTTTAAGAAAGTTATTAAAATTTGAAAAACTTTAAACCAGCAGAGTGAATATTTGTGGACGCCGCCGACGGAATGTAGGATCGCTATGTCTTGCTTTTGCGACAAAAGTCACAGGCTCGACAAAAACCAGTTCTTATTTTTTACTAGATATTTAGTTGGGTAGGTAGGGTACAATGTAACTGGAACCACATATATATTTTTATTTGGCCCAAGAGGAAAAAAATAATTCTGTTACTATAAATTAATATAGAAAACATAAACTGAAACAACTGTTTTAGTTTAATTGTATTCTCAGTTATCAATTAAACAATATAAACATAACAAAAAGGAAATAGAGCATCGCCGCAACGCGACAAATGACATTGAAAAAAAAAAACAGTTTATTTTTTTTACGCCAAATGTGATGTTATCCAAAATTTCTGGGGAGAACACTGAATCGATCATAATTGTCTTAATCCTTTTATTTATTGTAATTAATGGATTTCTATTTCAATGATTCATTTAATCTCGGCTTGGGTAATTTAAGTTCATTTCATTTTTATGTCAGGTGAAATATGTTCAACACACTAAAGTTCTGCTTGGACAATCAACAAAGGTGTTAATTAAAGAACCTTAGTGAGCGCGCTCACATACCCCACGTCCCCACATTGTCATTGGAGAAATAAAATAAGTGTAAGAAATGTCATTGGAGAAATAAAATAAGTGTAAGAAAAAAAAATTGTATCAGAAAAAAAAATTGAATCATAATTTCCTGTCAATAGGCACATCTACATAGTATGTCCTTATTATCTACACAGTTTCATGAAATTCTGTTGTGTGGTTTGAGAGGAGTTGCGATGACAAAAGGTTGCAGTAGTATATTGGGCAAATAAGTTTAAAGGGGCGTAACTCTTGAAAAAAAAATTGAATCGTAATTTCCTGTCGATATGCACATCTACGTAGTATGTCCTTATTATCTGAAAAGGTTTCATGAAATTCTGTTGTGTGGTTTGAGAGGAGTTGCGATGACAAAAGGTTGCAGTAGTATATTGGGCAAATAAGTTCAAAGGGGCGTAACTCCTGGAACAAAAATTGAATCTTAATTTCCTGTCGATAGGCACATCTACATAGTATGTCCTTATTATCTACACAGTTTCATGAAATTCTGTTGTGTGGTTTGAGAGGAGTTGCGATGACAAAAGGTTGCAGTAGTATATTGGGCAAATAAGTTTAAAGGGGCGTAATTCTTGAAAAAAAAAATTGAATCGTAATTTCCTGTCGATATGCACATCTACGTAGTATGTCCTTATTATCTGAAAAGGTTTCATGAAATTCTGTTGTGTGGTTTGAGAGGAGTTGCGATGACAAAAAGTTGCAGTAGTATATTTGGCAAATAAGTTCAAAGGGGCGTAACTCCTGGAAAAAAAATTGAATCGTAATTTCCTGTCGATATGCACAACTACATAGTATGTCCTTATTATCTAAAAAGGTTTCGTGAAATTCTGTTGTGTGGTTTGAGAGGAGTTGCGATGACAAGAAATAGGACTTACGGACTGACGGACAGACGGACAGGTTAAACACATTATACCCTCCGCAACTCATTGCGTGGGGTATAATTACTGGTCACCATAAACATGTCATTTTTACTGTTACACAAACAAGTATGTTTACACAGCTTTAATCTCTTTTGAAAATGATAAGGTTGTATACTTAATACATCCATTTTGAATTGCTATCATTAAGTCTCCACCTTTCTAACTTTCGAACTTATAGACATCAGGGTAGATTTAATTTACATTAACTTTACATCGACGGGGCTATAAAGTTTACTCGACTTGTCTGAATATTCGATCCAACCGAGTTCGACTCAACAGAGGTAAATATGCATTGATCAAACGGGAATTTTACCGGGACCTATAAATTACTTTGACTCATCCGAGTTTTCGACAAAAGGTTCGACTCTATCAGCAAACAGGAAGTAGGTATCCAACATATCTGAATAGAGTTCACACATTACAACTCGTCAATGTCAAGGGGCCAACCAAATATGGAGTCATCTTTGTCATTTGATCTTTATGATATTGTCTCATAAGCAATCATACCACATCTCCTTATTTTTATATGTATTCATATAAGAACTTTTGTGTAGAGTATTAACGTTTTTTGACCTTGCACACTGTAAACTATTTCCTAAATTAGCATATTTTCACCCAAGTCAACTGCCTAGCTATGATACTATTGTGCACAACATCTTTTTCACTTGATATAAATTTATATATATTAAGAATATGTGTCCAGGACTCCATGCCCCATTTGCACTATCTTTTTCCTTGTTCAGTGAAACATGAAATCTACGTTAAAATTGTAATTTGGCATATATTTTAAAAAGTTCACACAATAACGAATAAGAGTACTAAGTTTCAAGTTGATCTGAAAACAATTTCATAGTAAACTATCTTAACCAAAAACTATATCCAGAGAATGAACTGGTTTCACATCACCAGGGCTCACACTTCTTCACAATTATAGGGAGAAGTGACTTCTCTTTTTAAAACTGATAGGGAGAAGTGGTGAGACTAAAAAGAGAAGTGTTATAATGTTTAGTTTTTACAATAATATATATGGCCATATGTAGCCTATTTATTCAATTCTTTTCTGTATTGTTCAAATCATACCTGAGAATACCATTACAGTAACAGTTGTATCATGAAACTTACCTGTATATTAATATCTATTTCACCTGTATCCAGCAGGATTTTTATCACATTATTGTGTCCAGCCTTTGCAGCATAATGTAACACAGTCATTCCATCATCTGCCTAAGATGGAAAGCATTGCAAAAATTAAAACATTTTTCTATCCCTTCAAACACACTTTTTTAAGTTATTACATAGTCTCTTTATGTGCTGAGAGTGATTTTATTATATGTTTTTTAGTTAAAGTGTTATATTTGGCCTAGGAAGTTGTACATACATTATGACACATCCTCTAGTGTTGGTTAATATACATGTCAAGTATAAACTTTGAAATCATATAGGTTCTCAAGATATAGATCGGACATGATCTGTACCATAGGACATTGGGTTGTCAACTGAATCCAAGGTTTTTGACCTTGACCTTTGACCTAGGAAGTTGTACATACATTATGACACACCCTCTGGTGTTGGTTATAATACATGTCAAGTATAAACTTTGAAATCATGACGGTTCTCAAGATATACAGCAGACATGATCTTTCCCATAGGACATTGTGTTGTCAACTGAAACCAAAGTTTTTGACCTTGAACTTTGACCTAGGAAGTTGTACAAACATTATGACACAACCTCTGGTGTTGGTTAATATACATGTCAAGTATAAAGTATGAAATCATAACGGTTCTCTAGATATAGAGCGGACACAATATGTTACGGACGAACTGATCACTATAGGGCGACCCGCCACTAGGCGGGGCCCTAATAATCATCATGGAAATAAGATGTGCCAATGCTTATATAACTGTACACCAGATATCATTGTTTTACCATGATTACCCTTAAACAGACCTAATCAGATACTAACTACAATGTAAACTATGCAAAAGTTTCAGTCAATAGACCACGACTAGCAAGGGGGAGTCAAATAACCTCCATAGAAAAGAGATTTGTCAATGCTTGCTTATACAACTGCACATCAAATATCAACAACTTACCATTTGAGGTTCCCCTTAAACTAACCTAATCAGAAACTTTAACAAGTAAACTATGGAAAGCAAACCTATGTACATGGAAATGAGATGTGCCAATGCTTATACAACTGCACACTATATACCATTGACCGACCATTGAGACACAAACTTAACAAATTACTGACGCCACCTTAACAACATGCACAAGTCTCACCTCTATAACTTTGTAGAAGACAGACAAAAAATAAACACCTCAAAGACGACTTTTGTTTCATCTGACCAATTAGTTTCAGAGAAGCTTTTTCTTTAAATTTATGAAGCTGGAATATGCAACCTGGTGAAAATATGCAAATTACAAACCCAGAGGTTTGATGAGCTGGGGAAGATACTAATATTTATTAAAAAGCTTACCCTAGCATTTACATCTGCTTTAATCTTCATTAAGTATTTCACCAATGATTCATGATTATTTTCAGCTGCATACATCAATGGAGTTTTCAGGAACTGATCTGTAACATTAATTGAAGCTCCAGCCTACACAATAGAAAAAAGGCAGAAATCAGATTTATTCATTTTATGTGATATAAAATCCATTTTATATGAAAGTACAATTCCATATAGGTCAGTTTTGTGTGTGTGGTGGGGTGGGGGCTATGAAGTCATTACTTATAATATGTCTTTAGTAAATAGCATTTAGATAACTTATATACCTCCAAAGCAGTATGATTCAATGCTTTTCTTGATTCTTAAACCCATTTAACAATCCAAGTAAAGGTAAACAGCATAAAATATACTGTGTGTTAAAAGTATTGAAAAATACATTAAGTTTAGTGAAAAAAAGTTAAGTGTGTCTAAAAATGACCATGTGACAATGTATTTAAAGCACAAATTTTGATTGGTTGATAGAGCACAGATTAAGTCCATATTGAAAACCTTATTGAAAAGGTTTAAAAGAATGGAGATTAAACTAAGGGCTAATAGTGTAAATTCAGAAATTATTGTGATGTTTTCATTATTGCAATGGACTGGTTTCACAATTCTTTTAAATTATTTCTGATTTCATAAAAGACGATTTATTAATGAGAAGATGGCTGGACACAGTGGAATTTCCAATATATCCATCATTCAAAGTACTGGGTTTAAAAATGAAAACATATAAACTAAATTGCTTTGCTGAGCGCAGCTGGATACGACCGCAGATGTCCAACCCTGAAAAGTTGGGCCAAAATGTACACAATATTCACGCTTGATACAGGTCTGAATTTGGATTGTAACTAAATTTTTGACACATAATAGGTTTCTGACACAGAATAACTGTAGTCAAAGAACTTCAAATTGGTTATATGATTTGAATTTATATTCAATTTATTGCTTTTGTGCAATACACTATGCTGTTGCGAATTGACCCCCTCTCCCCCTACCAAAATTTTTTTTATTTTACCCCGGTTTTTTGCTTTTGTGCAATACACTATGCTGTTGAATATTAACCCCCCAAAAAAAATATTTGAAGAAATTTTCTTTTAATTTCTGAAATCTGAAATGAGAAAAATTGTTCCCCCTCCAATTTTTTTCACCTCCCCCCTTTCCCTTATTCCCCAAAAAAATTCTTCCCCTCAAGATATGGTCACCTATCTCAATTCAAATTTCTAAAGCAGTTTGCAACCAAAATTACCCATTTAAACACATCATAAAAGTTTTAAAATATAAAATGACATACATAGTCATGGCTAAAATTAATATTAATTAATAGTAACTGCTGAAAATAAATTGACAGCTAATCACCTCAAGACAATCATCATTGCTTAATACATAATTTACAAGCAGTGTAAGGGAGGTAATCAAACAGTGTTCTTTAATTTGAATTGGATTACCTCCCTTACACTGCTTTTAAATTGTCTCAATTGTCCTTTAACCAGAAAAACCCTCGTTTTTCCCCTTTTTTTGCCCCTAATTACTAAATGGTTTGAGCCATAATCCCCCAAAGTCAATCCTAACCATCCCTTTGTTGTATGGAAGTTTGTGGTATAATTTCAGAGATTCATACACTTTAACACAAGTTATTGTCTGGAAACTACAAAAATGCTTATTTGGGCCCCTTTTTTGGCCCCTAATTCCTAAACAGTTGGGACCATAACCCCCAAAATCAATCCCAACCTTCCTTTAGTGGTTATAAACCTTGTGTTAAAATTTTACTGATTTCTATTTACTTATACTAAAGTTATTATCCGGAAACCATCTGTCTTCGGACGACGCTGACGACGATGACAAGACGACGACAACGTGATACCAATATACGACCAAAAAATTTTTAATTTTTGGGGTCTTATAAAAAATTATTTAATGAACATACTTTTTCAATTTATTCCTGAATATTTATTGAATGTCTGTCACTTTATATTTAGTTTTGTTCCCCCAAAAGATCTTATATAGGACCAAAAGCAAAAGGGAGTGGAATGTATCGTGGATAAGAAAGTGCTAAATTCAAGAAACACTAACCATGATTGATTAAACAAATTTGAGCAAGAACTGAAAATTGTCCTAAGAAAGTAATAATTACACCCTTTAGTTAGTAACCATAACCTAAGGTCATTAAAATATTTACCTTCAATTGTTTTAAACTTCAAACAATTTGAAAAACTCTACTACAGAACGTAAGAACATTTCCTTAATACAAAATAAAGGATATGAGATTTCTCCAGAAAAGCACCGGATGCATGAAATTCATAACGTGTTGTTTTCATTTTTAAAAGAAAATACACATTTTGTAAGTGGTGGACTATTCTAAAATTAGAGTTTGTTCCTCGAGAACAAACCCTGTAAAATTTTATCTACTCTACCTGTACAAGTATATGCAGTATAATTAAGCTCCCTGATATCGCTGCAGCATGTAATCCTGTCTGATTTTCATATTCCTCATATACATCATCTGGATTTTGGCCATCCTCTAAAAATATTCAAAAAGTGTTTTTTTAACACCTTTTCAATCATTTAATGTAAAAGGAAAATATGCAAATCTACACAGAAATATGAATTTATTTAGCATTGACATGTATTTCTTCAAGCATTTTTTTTCTGCAGATACAATACTACTTGTTAAGATCCGTTTGTTGAAAAACGTGTCAAAATCAGATGAAATTTACGGATTTTACTAGAATTTGAAATAAGGAAACATTTTTTTAGAAGAATATGGAAGAATTGAAGCCAGACTAGTATACTTTTTTGACATAAAATGCTGTTTTATGTACAAAAACACTTGGAATGGACATCGTTCAGTGTAAGGAATTTGTACAACCTTGTTGAATTTTTCAAACTTTTGCCGTTTTGGGTTAAAAAATTAATTAAGATATTGGGTTAAAAAGTCGAACTTCGAGAATTTCATCTCTCTAATGCCGAAAATTTGCAAATTTTGATTTTTTATGAAGAAAAAATGATCAAAACATTAACATAACTGTGTCCATGGTGTAAGTGAATAATATAAAGACATAAATAACTACAGACAAATTTTTATTGATATTTAATATGAAGATCTCCCACTTGTGTCATTATAGCCAGGGAAGCCATCGTCTCAGAGTAGCTTCTGTCAGGCCGGCTATGATATCAGTGAAAGGATTAAACATGGTTGACTGCTGACATCTACACACCTCATTACACTTGTCATATCTGTAGTTTTGTAACATTTTACAAGAAAGCATTCTTATGGCATACACAATTCAGCATAAGTTACTTTCAGGGTGAGTAATCAGAATTTATAGGAAATAGCTACTGGCCCACTTACCTATGTATTAACTGTCAGTTCAGTTTGTTGATTTTTTTCAGATTTATTTAAACTATAAAATCTGCAAATAAATTAGGTGCCAACTTGACATACTTCTGTCATCTATAATTGCAGTGACTAATTTTTACAAATTGAATAAGAAATTATATTAAAACTCACCCAACATATACATTACTTTTTCTATGTCAGCTTCATATGCAGCATTATACAGATACTTAGACATATTTCTATATTTTTTAGGTCTGCAAAGAGAAAAGTCATTTGGTTATTGTATCAAAACAAGTTTACATGAATTTGAAATTACAAAAAGTTAACAAAATTCTCCTTTGTTTTGCAACAAGAAAATTTGAACTTTTGAGTACCTCAGTCTCAGTCAAATACAGTAATCATTCTACATGTCCTATTTACACAGGTACAAATTACTTTAGAAAAGGTCCAGTATTTTTTGAGATAGCAACTTTTCCTAGAAAAAGTCCAGTTCAGACAGGAGATTTTAGAAACTTGCATCTTCAGTTCATAATAAATGCATCACACACAAGTCTTAAGATACTTGTAACTGATGCTCAATTGAAATGTAAAAAAAAACATGAATATTCAGTATTATTTATTCATAAGGATATCTGACTTAGCTGTGACATTAATAAACATGAATATAGACTTTTTATTTTTATTTTGAATTGTTTCAAATTCTAACACCCAATGACCTTTTATAGCTAACAAAAGAGTTAGGGTTTTGCTCATTTTAGAGTTATGCACAGTGACCTAATGTTGGTCACATCCTTGTCCCCCTTTGATTTTTTGTATGTAGTTGTCTCATTGGCAATCATACCAAATGTCTCAAGTTTTGTATATAGTAGAGCCTACAACATTTAATCAAGTTTTTGAACTGGACCATTGACCAAAAGATTTCAACCTTGTTTGTAAAACAACTTCAAGTTGGGGCCAACAATCATAGAAAATATCATTACTGAACTCTGAGCAGCACTCAATATATACAGTTAACAATATTAGTAGAATTGAAACATAATCCTAAGATCTACAAATTTGAATTTGTAGTATTATCTTTGTAGTATTATCCTTGATAATGTAAAAAAACATGAATATTCAGTATTATTTATTCATAAGGATATCTGACTTAGCTGTGACATTAATAAACATGAATATAGACTTTTTATTTTTATTTTGAATTGTTTCACATTTTAGACACCCACTGACCTTTTATAGCTAACAAAAGAGTTAGGGTTTTGCTCATTTTAGAGTTATGCACAGTGACCTAATGTTGGTCACATCCTTGTCCCCCTTTGATTTTTTGTATGTAGTTGTCTCATTGGCAATCATACAATATCCTTGAAGATAAATTCCAAAATAAGTTAGTGGTTCACTCTCTAGTATTGGCAAACAATCACACACATTTTACCTACATTTTACTTCATTCATACTTTTTAAGAATACATAATTACCTTTCTTGCATCATACTTTTAAGCACTCTTTCCAATAAAGTTTTTTCTGGTCCCATTGAAATACCACCTACAAAATAAAAATATGAACATAAGACAACATTAATGCATTATATACACGTTTTTGCAGATGCACATTAAGTCTGAATTAAGTTACTTCTAATGACCACTAATTTAAAACTGTATCTATCTTCATCAGGCCTAAATCAAGTACTATAATTATTAGATATAACTGTAGCCGTCCAAAATACAAGTGAAACTGCGAGCTACTGCTCACTGATGATACCCCGCCCAAATATTTCGGTAAACAGGAAATTGTTGAGTGATGAATCTGAAAACGCATCACACGGTATAGCTGACTTATATAAACCCTGAAACCAAATTTCAGAAATCCTTATGATGTAGTTCCTGAGAAAGCTGTGACAAAAAATATTCATGGGACGGAGGGACAGACGGAGGGATGGACAGTGGTAAAACAGGGGTATAATAAGACATTTTAACTCACCAGTGGATATAAGTTTATCTGACCCAGACAATTTGAAACTGGCTGTCGCCGATTCCTCATCATCCTTATCTGATGCGGCAGCAAACTTTGATCCTAAACCCATTCTGGCTCGTTCTCTGCTTCTGTTAAACATAAAACAAGTCTTTAAAACCTGTAAAACAGTACTGAAAAAAAATCTACAATGAATTGAAGAACACTTAGCTTTTACAGCAGACCATAAAATAGCAACAAAAAATATGTCCATAGGACACCATGCCCACTCTCACTATCAAATACTGTGTTCCAGGAGTTATGAAATTAGGTCAAAACCCTAATTTGGCATTTGCAACAAAAATTCTATGCTCAGTGGATAACATAACATTTCATAGTATTGTCAAACAGGAATTGATTGCCCAGCATATATGAAAATCAATTGTACAGTACATCATTATAAACTTAAAGACCGAATATCAAATCATTCCTTACTAGCCATCCATGAAAAACCATGAAAATTGGTACCCCACGAATAAAAGTACTTTCACAGTACAACAGAACTGTATAAATTAAATCTCTGCACCATTTAAAAAACTTCATTTCTTATAACAACCAATATACTTACGATGCTTTTGCCGGTTTATCTTCAACCATGGACACAACTCTAGGCTCTTCAAGCTCAAGGCTGGCTTCAACCTGATGAGATTCTTCGCCACAGTGAGGACAGAAATATTTACCATTCCGTACCACCTGGCACTGATGATGAAAATAATGTACAGACTGGGCACCTTCTTTTCTACATTGGTAAAACTTCCCCTGTAAAAAGAACAGGAATCTCTTATTTCTTACTGTGAAAGTCTGAGTTAAATAATGGTGGAATTAAATAAAAAAACTGACAAGGTCATATATGTGGTACTAGAAACCCCAGATTAATTGAATCAGTGAACAATGCAATTAGGTTTAGAAGAATTTTTATAATTTTTTATAAAAATAAAATAATAGGTTAGATGAAGTTAAAAAAGAAAAAAGAAAAAAGAAAAAAAAAGATAAGATGCAAGTATCCAAATTTGGCCAACTGCGTGTTTTTCAATAGGTAACCCAGCAAAAACTTTTGATAAAAAGATTATTTTAAAACATTTCAATAAAATCCAGTTGGTGGATTGGGGAGATTTACAATGCATCATGATTTTGAAGATATAACTCACTTACACCTTTCTTAGTCCATGTTTTTCTATGGCCAAATATGTTTAAAAAAAAAAAACAAATTCAGAACTTAAGATTTCATGGTAGTTAAAAACCTGCTTCACTTGATGGAGTAATGTAAATGTCCTCTCTTTATACATTTGCTTTCAAACAAAAACTCTTACCTGTGTACAGAAATGACCACAGCCAGGACAACAAGCATGTAACCTCAGTCTTTTTCTATGAGCTTCACATATTGCCATGAAAGGAATTTTGACACCAGGTCGTATTAACTGGTAGTTTGTCACTTTATTACAACAACCCATAACCTGAAACAAAGGAAGAAATGCTGTAAAGACATATATCTCAACAAATATTTGGATAGAGTTATTGTTCAAAGTATTGAAATTGACATCTATATTTTACGAAACATTTTGTTTTAATTCAAACACAATAGTAGATCAGAGAGTTCTACCTTACAATACTTTTCCTTTAAAATAACAGTAATTCAAAATTTGTTGAAACAAGATATGCACATTTCTACATGGTTAAATTGTAAAATTTCATTTCATATCAAAGAATATTATAGGCTATAAGTTATTCACAAAATATTTGTTGACTTACAGACAAATAAACAAAGTGAAAACTATAGGGCTTACTTATCTTTGTTGCATGGGCTTTAATAGGGGGAATCTACTTAAGAACTGAAACAATGGATAAGACATCAGTCCATTTTTTTCAATATTACATTTACAAACTGTTAAACAGGAAAACAAAATAAGACATTTTCAAAATTAATCAAATATTTTCTATATATTTTCCTTATATATGTATAAATCTTTTGAAAAATTAAAAAAAAATGTTTAAACTTGTCTTTCATGACCAATTATATGTTCATACCTTGCCATCCATTGAATCTAGAGCTTGACAATATGTGACAGTTGAACCAAGCTTTTTGAAACTAGCACCATTTATTTTACAACAACATAAAGGTATTACATCTTTGTCTGGAGGGGTTGGTCCAGGAGGAGCCTACAATAAATATAACACATACAGTGCTTGTTCTCTGATTTTATAATCTGAAATATAACTTAAGCATAATCAATGTGAATTTTTAATTAAAAACTTGGTCACTTACAATTATCACAATTATTATGCGTTATTTGTTACAATTTTTCGTTTCAATATCTAGAGTTTTAGACTGATCTGAAAAACAATAAACTGTAAAGTGGACTCAAAAACAAATATTGATAGTTACTCAATAGACTAAATATAGACAACATTCAACCTTTTCTAGGTTCACAACTATTAGAAATGGCTGTCTTTTTATTTTTATTTTCAGCAATTCATTACATGATAAAATATGTATTGGCAAAAAAGCAAACTATCAAAAACACCAATATATGATGCTCTTAGTATACTTAATTCCATGCAGAAGTATAGAAAACAAATTAAAAAATATTACACTTTTTACATTTTAAATTCAATTCAATCATGAAACAAATAAATAATATACTTGGTATCAATATATTGGATCAATCATGCTCAATCACAATTTTCCTGAACTACATAACCCACAGCAATATACAACAGTCTGTACAACAGAGGTATCATGTACAACAATCATGTGCATCAACTTACTTCCTTATAACATACACCCATAAAAGTAGGAATTCCAGCCGGCTGCTGTTGTTGCTAGAAATTCAATTTTTTATAATCACTTTAGCTTAATTTGAGACAGGTATATGTGATTCAATATTTTGTGTTGGCAAGCATAAATGACATATCTTTTTTATGTTTTTAAAATAAATTTTGTATCTTTATCGCACCTCGGGTAAATTAGTAACATTGTTATTGGTTAAACACCATCACGTGGTGATCCCCTATGGATCCATAGATTTCATAGGGGTATCATGACGTCACATCTACTATTAAAGGTGACGTCATCTATTAATGTTTATGTATTTATTGTTTATTTTTATAAAAAAACTTGGCAGGAAAAGTCCCATGTGTGATAAATTCTTGATATGGTTCTCTACTGACCCTCCATGAATCTGTAGGGGTCAGTAGCTAACAATATAACTAATAATACATCTAGTCATTCAGGGAAATTTGGTACCTGTATACAATGACATTTTGCCATTAACAAATAAAATGCTACACTGAGCTTAGCCTGATACGACCGCAGAGGTCGAACCCTTAACAGTTGGGGCAAATTTGGACACAATATTCAAGCTTGATACTGTCTGAATTTGGATTGTGATCAAATTTTTGACATAATATAGGTTTCTGACACAAAATAAATGTGGTCAAAGATCTTATAAATCCATTGCGCAATACTGTGCAATTGAAGATTTCTTCTTGAAACTTTTCAAAAATTCGAATTTTAAAAATTTGGAAAAAAATCCCTTAAAAAAATTTGGAAAAAAATCCCCCCCTTTTTTGAAACACCCCTTGGAGCAATAACCCCAAAACTCAATCCCAGCCTTTCCTTTGAAGTATGGAACCTTGTAGTACAATTTCAGAGAGATCCATACACTTACACACAAGTTATTGACTGGAAACTATAGAAATGCTTGTTTTTGGCCCCTAATTCCTACATGTTTGGGGCAATTAACCCCAAACTCAACCCCAGCCTTTCCTTTGTTATATGGAACCTTGTGGTACAATGTCAGAGAGATCCATACACTTACACACAAGTTATTATCCTGAAACTAGAAAAATGCTTGTTTTGGGCCCCTAATTCCTAAACAGTTGAAACTATCATCCCCAACATCAATCCCAACCTTCCTTTTGTGGTATTGAACCTTCTTAAAAAATTTCATAGCGATCCATTCACTTAAACTAAAGTTATTGTCCGGAATCCAATGTGTCTTCGGACGACGACATCATACCATCATTAGATCCCAAACAATTTTTTGCGGTCGTATAATTATCAATGGACGAATACAAAAATGACATTCATGGTCTAAAAAATAGACTGAAGTAGCCAGCTTTTCGAAATTTTCTGATTTTAAAATAATTGCTGGGTAGCTTTTTCTTTGTTGCTTCCCTAATATTCCATCTCAAGCACCACTGGTGAGACATGGGAAATTTTGTGCATTTATCATGTCCTGTGTTATGCATTTCACTGAACATGAAGATTCCCCCATTTGTAAATTAAACAAAAAGAAAAACATATATATTTAAATGAAAGTTCTCAAACTACCATTAAGTCTGAAATCAATGCTTGTAAATTTTTCATCATATTGTGTAATTAACAGATTAGAGTGCCAGATTTATGTGACATGTTGCATTCAAATAATGCTTAAAATTTTTAAAAGCAAGCCTATACAATAGAATTTTTAGCAAGAAGAAAAATATGGCAATAATTTCTGCATTTCAGGAATGAAAATTTTCAGTTAGTTTCTTGTTACTTACAGACATTGAAGAATCTTCACTCAGTTGGTCGTCAGGAGTTTTGGGTGGTGTAACAGGATAGCTGGTTTCGCTTGAAACTGACAGGGAATCTTTTGATGCCTCAGTATCATTTACACCTTCCATATCCTGTGGAATAACCTTATGTAAAACTGGTGCCTGGTCAGAAGCTGAAGAGGCAAAATTATCTGGACCTGGCTGTGGATCCAATGGAGGTAGTCCTACAGAGTTCATAGGATTGGAAATTAGTGGAAATGTAGATGCAATGAGCGGTTGAGACACAGTTACCAATGGCTGTGAAATGTTTGGCGATAATAAAATGACCTGTTGTTGATTTCCTAATGTTTGTGGTGTGTTTGGATTAGACACTGTCAATAAAACTGGTGTACTGCCTTGTGATTGAGGGAATGCAACAAGAGGCTTAATAGATTTAGGCAGTATTGATCTCATACTAGTTGGTGTTGGCATTGACGTGGATTTTGTAACTGCTGATGGTGAAATCCTGGGATCTTCTATCCGTTTCTTTTTACCTGTAATAAATAAAGTTCCAAAGAATTCATATGATGTCAGGGTTCGAGGGTTCTTACTTGGCCAGTCCTAGTTCATTCTGGTGAGTCCATAGTACATTAACTCAAATAATTCAGAGCTATTCACTAAAAATATAGGTATCTAAGTGAATGGAATTTAACAATTGGACTACTCTGGTAATTGGTATAGGTTACAAAAATGCAAATCTTTAAATCAAAATGGTTAAAACATACACAACTGCTTTGATGTCAATGTATACTGAATTTTATCAAATTCTACATTTCTGAGAGTATGGATTACTTAAACATATTACTTATGTCATGTCTCCATCCACATTTGTCACAACGAAGACAAAAAAATCATCTACAATTCAAACATTTAATCTGCCAACTTGGGTTCAAATCTGTAACTTCCATGCCATTTTGACCTAAGTGTTGTAAAGCAGTATGAATATTTATTTATCAAAGGAAATATTCTGAACAATAACCCAACCATACCTGTTGTGCAATTTGGATCTAACTTTGTGCTATTACATTCTATATGATCATCTTCATCTGAAAGAAAAATAAAGGTATTCTACATAATCAAGAACTTGAAATGGATGGGGGTCTCATATTATGGTTTTGTCAGGACAATTATATCAGTCTAGTTGAACATTGCCATAATTCTCGTGTTGAACAAAAATATAATCCCTAAAAAGAGCATTGCCCTTATTGACTGGATTTTTAAAGGTTTAACAAAATGTTAGTTGCTGTTCATTGCTGGAAACTTTATGGTAAACCCTTTTCTTCTTTATTTGAACTCATAACTTCCCTATCAAAAAAAATCTCAGGGTTTTATGTAGTTTCAAATATACTGTGCATATGTATGTTTAATCTGTTATGCTCTAATAAAAAATTTAATGAACTGCAAGCAAAAATTCGTGAGTAAAAGATGATGCTGATGATGATGAAAATTGTTGTTGTTTGCTTAACATCTAGTGAAAGATTTCCAAAATATAATTTCCATAAATTTTTATTCAGTGCAGGGCTCACACTACTTTAGAATCATAGGGAGAAGTGACTTCTCTTTTTGAAACTAATAGGGAGAAGTGGTGAGATTTGAAAGAGAAGTGCTTGTTCTCTCGCTCACGGCACTACAATGTTTTTAGATTTTTACTAGAATATAAAGGGCCATATGTATCCTATTTATCTATTTTCTATATTGTTTAATTTATACCGAAGTATACAATTAAAGTAACAGTTGTTTCAGTTTATTATTTCTAGTTGCACAATTTTATATGTCCTCTTGTCAGAAACCACCAACTAAATATCTAGTACTAAAAAGAACTTTTTTTGTATCAAAAAGGAAAAGAACGCATAATATATCAATTAAAATTTAATCAAAAAACTATTCAGTTGATCATGTTTATGAAATTCATTGTTTCTCATTTAAAAGATATACAAATTTAACAATGTTAAGCAACTTTAATCCATCAAATGAAACAATGCTTATAAATGGAAATATATTCATTAAGCAAGGAGATCTAACCAAATGTCTGTTAATGCGTGTGGAATGTGTAATTTTCCCTTTTGGGATCATAATTCTGTCAGCAATGCCATTCGTGCATCCCTAGTTATTGTAAGAATGTGGATTTCGATCATATCTGGTCTGGTTCCGATCAATCCCGCCTCCGATCTGTAGTTCGCACAATTATTTCAATGGCGGATGAAGAAAATTTACTAAATAAACCATGTTTGACAAGCTATTTGGAAAGGAATATGACGTTCTTAATGCAATAAATGGATCTAACATTAACTAAAAGCAATTTTCAACACGTTCTTGTGAAGTAACAAATTTATTTTGCCGAAAATCAGAATGTTTTGATGTACGCTCTCGAGTAACAAGTACAGGAAGTGTTTAAAAAGTTGTCTGTATGAAGTAACATACAATCAATCTGTAATGTCAATACTTTCTCCTCTTTTCTAAAGAAATAAATCGTTTATGTCTTTGAATTTCTTTACTTATCCATGAACAAGAGTGCACACGCTGAAATGTCTCGCCTACTATACTGACCATTGATTTTATGTTGATAGTCCTACATATAAAGTTTTACTACAAACATCACATTAACCTTTATGATCCAAAAAAATGAGGTCAAGGTCAGATAAACAAAGCCGGAAATACATGTACACCTTTAATACAATCAATCCATACACAGAATATAGATGACCTTTTGCTTATAGTATAAAAGAAACAGACCAAACCATGGAAATTCTATACTGACCAATGTACCATGAAAATGAAGTCAAGGTCAGATGAACCCTGCCAGGCATACATGCACACCTTAAATTCATTCCATGCATCAAATATAGTTGACCAATTGCTTAAAGTATATAAGAAACAAAGTTAACCAGGAAAACTGAACTTTGACCAATCAACCATGAAAATGAGGTCAAGGTCAAATAAAACGTACCAGACTGACATGTACATCATAAAATATTTCCATACAACAAATAAAGTTGACCTACTGCATACAGTATTAGAAAAACAGACCAAAACACAAAAACTTAACATTGAGCAATGAACTGTGAAGATGAGGTCAAGGTCAAATAAAACCTGTAAGATTGACATGTACATCGTAAAATATTTCCATACACCAAATATAGTTGACCTTTTGCATACAGTATAAGAAAAACAGACCAAAACACAAAAACTAAACTATGACCACTGAACCATGATAATGAGGTCAAGGTCAGATGACACCTGCCAGTTGGACATGTACACCTTACAATCATTACATACACCAAATATAGTACACCTATTGCTTATAGTATCAGAGATATGGACTTGACCATGAAAACTCAACCTTGCTCACTGATCCATGAAATGAGGTCGAGGTCAAGTGAAAACTGTCTGACAGGCATGAGGACCTTGCAAGGTACGCACATACCAAATATAGTTATCCTGTTACTCATAATAAGAGAGAAATTAACATAACAAAAAATCTGAACTTTTTTTCAAGTAGTCACTGAACCATGAAAATGAGGTCAAGGACAATGGGCATATGACAGACGGAAACTTCATATCATAAGGCATCTATATACAAAGTATGAAGAATCTAAGTCTTCTACCTTCTGAAATATTAAGCTTTTAAGAAGTTAGTTTACGCCGCTGCCGCATCACAATCCCTATGTCGAGCTTTCTGCAACAAAAGTCGCAGGCTCAACAAAAATTGCTGTTTCATTGACTAAGTAAAAATTGAAAATTGCAGATGGCAAAAGCTTCTGAAAGCGAGTGTTGTGAACACCAGGGCGACAAGTTATCGCTTTTGACGGTCAGGCAAAGCAAAGTGACGGACTGGAAAGCAACTTCTTCGCCCCAGTCGATTGCTAGCATGAGCCCTACAGTGACACTTATTTTGGGTCAAAATATGTTAAGCAACCAATAGTTGATTAATCAACCTATTTAGGATATTTTTTTATGTTGTTAATTATCTTTTGGTGAGATAATAAATATACAACTGCTAGAGTCAACATTGCCTTGTTATGATGTTTCTCCAATAAATAAACTGTTATCACAGAGATATGTCTCGCCTTTTTGTAATTTTGATAATGCAAATGTTGAAATTAAAATAGCAATACTTTAACATGTAAGTTATGCAAATATTCAAAGTCGATGAACCATGACTGAAGGTACATGGCTAAACAATCTCCATGGAATGAGATGTGCCAATGCTAATACAACTGCATACCAAATACCATTGACTTATTATAAGTCGTTCCCTTTAAACAAACCTAAACACAAACATTAAATTGTAAACTATGTAAAAGTTTCAAAGTCAATGAACCATGATCAGGGGTTGGGCTATATAATCTCCATGGAAACGATACTTGCAAATGCCAATACATTTGCATACCAAATATCATTGACTTAACATTAGCAGTTCATCTTAAACTGATCTAATCACAAACTAATACATGTAAACTAAGCAAAAGTTTCAAAGTCAATAGACCATGACTGAGGGGGCGGGGCCAAATAATCTCCATAGTAATGAGATGTGCCAATGCTAATACAACTGCATACCAAATATCATTGACCTACCACTAGTGGTTCACAATGAACTAGACCTAATCACAAACTAATATATTGTTGACGCCGCCGTCGCCGGAAACAGCATACCTGTCTCGCTTTTTGACTCCGTCAAGGCGAGACAAAAACAAGAGTGCACATGCTGAAATGTCTCGCCTCCTTTATTAATCATTGATATTATGTTGATAGTCCTAAATATAAAGCTTTATTACAACTGTCACATAAACTTAACATTAACCAAAAAACTAAACATTGACCAATGAACCATGAAAATGAGGTCAAGGTCAGAGATATAACTCTATAAGGTTATTACAGAAAATAACTTGGGTGTGTTATTACAGATACTTTCATGAGTTGTCTACTCTTTATTCCTTTAATTTTCTAAATCTGCAATAACATATGTTTGTTATTTGTTAAATAAATCAAAAATATTTTAATTTATAATGGGCTCTAGGGAACTCTTGAGACTTTGCGCAGAAACTAAATGCATAGCCTTGATAATTAATTCTATAATTAAATTAATACTTTTTTGATTAACCATGGTAAATCAATGAGACGAGGCTTTTAAGGGATAAAATTAACTGTAATAACATAGCTTAGTTATTAAAGGAATGTAACCTATTATATGAGACACTTGGGACTTACTGGGAAGCTTGCGCAGAACCTCATTACATGCTCTGGTCATTATTTCTTACAATAAATTAAAATACATTGTAATTAAGCATGATGTATGTCTGAGAAAATGTTTTGGAGTGATATAGAGAAGCTGTGATAACAACCTTTAGTTATTACAGGCATATTTTTTCTGTAATAACATATAGGTGTACTTTGCAAAATTGGCAAACTATGAACTGTTATATCTTTCCATAGTTAAGTATACATAAAGACAATAGTAATATCAATAGAACTTGTATGCATTTTAAATAAACTAGTGATGTATATTGTCCCTTTGAAACATGTAACATACATATGTTATCACAGATCTTTGATTTTTTAGTCCACAATAACAAACGTATGTTATTTTTCTGTAATGACCCTATAGAGTTATATCCCTGACTGGAGGTCAAGGTCAAATAAAACCTGTGCGACTGACATATAGATCATAAAATATTTCCATATACCAAATATAGTTGACCTATTACATATAGGATTAGAAAAAAAGACCAAAACTCAAAAACTTAACTTTGACCACTGAACCATGAAAATGAGGTCAAGGTCAGATGAAACCTGCCAGCTAGACATGTACACCTTACAATCATTCCATACACCAAATATAGTAGACCTATTGCATACAGTATAAGAAAAAGACCAAAACACAAAAACATAACTAAAACCACTGAACCATGAAAATGGGGTCAAGGTCAGATGACACCTGCCAGTTGGACATGTACACCTTACAGTCCTTCCATACACCGAATATACTAGACCTATTGCTTATAGTATCTGAGATATGGACTTGACCACCAAAACTTAACCTTGTTCACTGATCCATGAAATGAGGTCGAGGTCAAATGAAAATTGTCTGACGGGCATGAGGACCTTGCAAGGTACGCACATACTAAATATAGTTATCCTATTACTCATAATAAGAAAGAAATTAACATTACAAAAAATGTTGACTTTTTTTTCAAGTAGTCGCTGAACCATGAAAATGAGGTCAAGGACAATGGACATATGACAGACGGAAACTTCGTAACATGAGGCATCTATATACAAAGTATGAAGCATCAAGGTCTTCCACCTTCTTAAATATAAAAGCTTTTAAAAAGTTAGCTAACGCCGCCGCCGGATCACTATCCCTATGTCGAGCTTTCTGTGACAAAAGTTGCAGGCTCAACAAAAACCAATAAAACTAAAACAAATGCACACATATTTACATATTCTGTTATTATGTTTTTAAAAAGAAACACTTTTGGGAAATTTATTATGCTAAATCGCAATTTGCAATTTCTTACCATTAAAAAAACTAGTAATGATATAGAGATCATAGATAATGATAACTATATATTGCTAAAAATGCATATTCTACCATATTTCACTATTGATACCTTGTCACTGAACTATCCCAGAAATCATAAACCTAGATTTATTATTCACTAAAAGAGTCACATGATTATTTTCTAAATATTCCAAAATCTGTACAGGTGAAAAATCCCATGCTCTGTTCATTTTCCAGAAAGAAAAGAATTTTTTATTATGATTATTAATAGGTTAAGGCCAGATAATCAAATTTCAAGTGCTGTTCTTATACATAATTACATTTTCCAGTGTTTCCTTTATCATTCAAAATTCACCTCAACAACCCAGTTTGTTCGTAAAATTTTTTTAAACAATTGAAATTGGAAAAATTAATTGAATGATATTTTTTTTTAAAGTTTTTAAATATTATTTGGGGACAGGTTTTTGATATTTCAGAAGTCATAAAGTTTCAGGACAGTTGTAAATATATACATAAAATCTATTAAACCTTCTTTCTTTCTTTTTCGGACACCAGCATTACTTTCTAGACTTTCTGAATCTTCACAAGTTCTCCCATTAGTCTGAAACATAGAATACATTGATATCAATACACCGTAAAAAGTTTAAATCTAGCATTTCAGCATTTCAGTAAATACAAGTCAGGATCAAATAAACATTTTTGTCAATGTGTATTCTTATTTTCAGATAGCCACAATTAAATCTTTCCACTTGCCTTTTCATACAATTTTATGCAAAGGTATTTCCTTGTGTTTTTATTACTTTAAATATATTCATGGTAAATGAAAAAAAAATTAAAAATATCAGAATTTTTAATATTCACAACTTGTAAAAAATCTCACTTGAATGGTAGCAGTTGAACTGTTTAAAACTTACTTGACTAGAGTTTGGAGATTTCACTGAAAAATATTCTGTAATAGGCTTTCCTTTATGTTCATGTAATTTTTTTGAACTTGGTGGAGTCTTTGCACTAGGTGGGGTCCTGCCCTGGCGTGTACTACCTAAGGTATTTTTAGTCCTATGAGCTATAGTCTTTCCTGAATCTTTTGGAGTCCGTAATAAACTATTTTCTAAACTTTCATTCTCCATAGAACAGTCTGTATTGTCTGTTGTTATAAAACTATCATCTTGATTTTCCTCTTTCAAACAAATGTCATTTTCTTCATTTTCTTCCTCTTCCCCATCTATTTTTTCCTTCTTTTTTACAGTTTTACTTTTTTTCTTTTCAAGAGGTAATTTATATGTTCCTAAACGTTTTTTACGCTTATGAGATCTTATTTTGAGCAATTTTGATCCTTCAGCTTTTGGAAGATCAGATGAATTAGTCACATTTGATTCTTCTTTTACAGATATTGCTAAACTTGTTGGCTCTTTTTCCACACTGGGAAATAATTTTGGCATTTTACTTGGAGGTTTAGCACTTTTCCCCATCGAACTACCCATTGTAGCTCTCTGGCGCATTATTTTTGGTGGATTCAATGATCCACCCATTGATGCCCTTGTTCTCTGTCCTCCAAGAGATTTAGATTTATTACTTCGCCCCAAGTTGCTCAACTCTTCCAGCATACTAGAATTCAACTTAATAGGACTATCAAAATCTGGAAGCTTAACTGTTAAGTTAGATGGAGGCAGTCCTAAGTTTTTAGCAACAATATCCTGTGATTGTTTTGAAATGGGGAGTGCAGATTTGCGAGCTTTAGGCATTTTTGTTATAGGTTTTACAGAAACACTTGTGTCCTTGGACTTCTCTTCTTTATTGTCCATATTACTTGCATTTGTTGGTGTAATACACCTTGAATCACCTACCGGTGTACTATTTCTTGAACTATTTCTAGAATTTTTTAAAATAGGTGTCCCCTCTCTTGAATTGTCAGAGGGAGTTGTTTCCCTTGAGGAATTAGGAATTTTACCATTTAACACAGTATGTAAATCACCATCAGATTTATCATTTATACTTCTTTCAGAGGATTCAGTTTGTTTTGTCCTTACAGAATGCAACTTTTCCTGAATATCACAAGAACCATTTTTTATTTCTGATGAATTAAGAATTTTTGTCTTATTTACATCATTTTTCAAGCCATTTATTTCACCATTAATACATTCATTCCCTTCCTTCATGGCGGACTTGACGTAACACAACCTTTCTTTCACAACATCATTCTACAAAAATGAAAACAAACATAAGTTTACTGTAATATAATGTCATACTAAAATGAAACACGCATGCTGTGAGAATTGCCTGGCAATACATAGTCCCCTAGCTACTGGTTAAAAATTCATTGTACTGGAACAAAATTATAACTTGATCTATAACTTGTCATGGTGTAAACTATATAACAAATATCAAGACAATATCTTCAAGCATGACATAAAAAATTGTGGAAAATTGATTATTTGAGTGAATTTTGTAAGTCCAAGGACCATAACTCTGCACAAAATCATCAGACCGGAACAAAATTTGAACTTAATCTGTAACTTGTCATGATAAAACTATATACCAATTATCAAATCAATATCTTCAAGCATGACAAAAAAAAAGTGATGAAAACTGATTTTTTGAGTGAATTTTCTATGTCCAAGGACCATAACTCTGCACAAAATCATTATAGACCGTTACAACATTTAAACTTGACCTGTAAATTATTATGGTAAAACTATATACCAAACATCAAATCAATATCTTCAAGCATGATAAAAAAAAGAAGCTGAAAACTGATTATTTGAGTGAATTTTCTAAGTTCAAGGACCATAACTCTGCACAAAATCAACAGACCGGAAAAAATTCGAACTTGATCTGTTACTTGTCATGATAATCCAATACACCAAATATCAAATCAATATCTTCAAGCATAAAAAAAAAAGTGTCGAAAACTGATTTGCCAGACTGACGGATAGACAGACAGACAGACAGATGGACGGAGTGCAAACCTAAAGTCCCCTTCGACTTTGTTGGTAGGGAACTAAGATCATATCAAAGGGAACATGTGTACTAAGTTTCAGGTTGATTGGACTTCAACTTCATCAAAAACTACCTTGACCAAAAACTTTAACCTGAAGCAGGACCGACGGACAAACTTGAAAACATAATGCCCCTAAGTGGGGCATAAAAATCGTCATCAAAGGGCAATAACTATCATAAGTAGTCAACTGAAATTTTGACTACTTTGACTTATTTGTAGAACTTGTCTTGCTGATCATTTTTGCATTTTAAAGTTTCTCTCTATTATAGTTTTCAAGATAAGTAAAAATGAAAATAAAAAGGAATAACTCAATAATGGTTAAAGTGACACTACCCAAATTCAACTTGATCTGTGTTTTATCAGTGGAAGTCAAAATTAAACATTGCATTGTATAAAGCATTGATTGTAGTTGATTCAACTATAGTATAATCATGGACAAAGGAAGATAACTCCAATTTAATAAATTACTTGATACTTAGAAAATAAAAATTTTGCAATTTTTCCATTTATAAAGGGGCATAACTCTAGAACAATTAAAGTGACGCCACCAAAATTCAAATTTCTGTGTTTTGTGGTAATAAGCATTGTGAATAATTTTCATAACATTTGGTTGAGGCAAACTCAAGTTAGAGAACGGAAACTCTAGAACAGTTAAAGTGACGCCACCAAAATTCAAACTTGATCTGTGTATTGTGGTAATTAGCATTGTGTATAAGTTTCATAACATTTGGTTGAGGCAAACTTAAGTTAGAGAACGGAAATGAAAAATTTAGCAATTTTTCCATTTTTAAAGGGGCATAACTCTGGAACGGTAAAAGTGACGCCACCAAAATTCAAACTTAATCTGTGTTTTGTGGTAATAAGCATTGTGTATAAGTTCCATAACATTTGGTTGGGGCAAACTAAAGTTAGAGAACGGAAACCAATTTTGGGACGTACGGACGGACATACAGACAAGGGTAAAACTTAATGCCCCCTCCGCTACGGTGGGGGCATAAAAATTGTAAACTTTGTCATTTAAGGGCAATTACTCCTTTAAGAAGTCGTGTGACAGTTTTGACGTATATGGACAATTGGTAGAGCTCAACATTTCTGCCCTGTCAGATTTTCTCTGTTTAAAACAGTTTTCAAAATAATAGACAAAACTTGCATTTTACCCCTATGTTCTATTTTTAGCCATGGTGGCCATGTTGGTTGGAAGTCGGGGTCATCTGATACATGTTTTTAACTAGATACCCCAATAATGATTGTGGCCAAGTGATGAGAAAAGATCACTTGGCGCATTCGGCCAGGTAAGCTAAAAATAAAAAGCTTTGGTTTTCGAGTCACATTTTCAAAGAAAACCTATTGCAGCACGACTTCCCAAAAATTTGGAAATTAAAATGAAATTTATGGGAAAATATTGCTTGCAGTCTCCCTTTTACTTTGGTATTGTTCATTTCTACCTTTAGAATTTCATACACCCATAAAGGACAAATCTATTGAAGAATAGGCTGTATCACTGAACTGGCATTTATTAGTCCCTTCAGTACTGACCCAGGGTAAAGTTATTCTTCGGTATTTCTGCAGTTACCATATGGTCAACTTGATTCAAGTGCTGAGAAATTCTGGCCCTTTTGTTAACACCAGCAGATTTTTACATTAATGCTATTTATTGTCTGATGTATATTCAATAATAAATCAGATACAAAATATACATGAAGCTAACTTATGCTGTGGAATCTTCACTAAGACAATTTGTTGGTTTTGGTTTAACTTGCAGAGTGTATCCAATTTATTAATTTTCTAGCCTGTGAGTAGATTGGCTTTGCATTCAAGGAAAAATTGCCACACCAAATACAAATATAGTGAAGCTACACTTTTTAACTTGAAGGTCAACAACACAGAGCCTAAAACCCAGAACCCTGGAAACAACAATCATATTCTGATAAAGCCTGTAACCTTTAGTTACAAATGTATATATTCTATGAAACTGAACAAGCATGCTTAACTATTTAACTCCTAGTACACAGAGTTTTTAAAGCAATGCAAGAATATTCCTACTGAAATAGAATAATTTTTTGTACTGATTATTCACCCTACATTACTGTATTTAAGACATGCTTTCCTACAGGTTTGCTATGGTTGATCATGTGAAAACAATTTCCTCATTTTCAAAATGATTGTAAATGATGAAAATTTGTCTGAGAAGGAAATCCCAATCTTAAAACAACCTAAGAATTTTCAACCTTTACGAAAATCAGAAACAAATGACAAAATACACTTATAGAACCTAAAACAACATATATATTACCTGTATTTTTTTCACCTGGCCAGGTAGATTGTGATCAAATATTACAGGTAAAGTTTCTGTAAGGGGACTATTATGGTGAATCAGAGAGCAGACTTTTAAATGTGATCAATGTACAAGGAACAGTTACAACACACATCATGGAAATGTTTGATATATTAAAATCAGGAGCAAGACACCAAAAATGTGTTGATTAGTTCAAATTCCTTTCTGCTTAAATAATGTGCTTTGTGTCACAATGTATATATACAAGTCCAGTGAACTTGTCATTGTTTCTAATCTTTTGTAAATTATGCATGTAAAATGTAGATTATTCCTTTATAGTTTAATCTCATCTTTCTCATTTTCCAACCTTCAAATCTTCTTGCATTCACTATTATCAACCAATGAAAATATGTTGCTTTTGTCTAGTAATGTACAGTCCTTAACAAGAGGAGTAATTGGCCATGAATTCAAGAAAATGCAAGATAACAACCAAATGAATGATCACATAATATTTATTATAGTTAAAAAGGTTATTTTGAAGGAGTGGATGTTTAACTTGGCCATTCACTAACAAACATAACATAAGTCTGAAAAAGGACAAAGTTAAGTTTGTTAGTGCAAATAAGATGTGTCAATTTTAATACAACTGCTTAACAAATATGTTTTTCTTTCCATCAGTAGTTCCACTTAAACGAACCTTATCCCAAACTTTAACATTTATTGAAATAGGCAATAGCTTCAAAAGTCAATGAATCATGAGGTTGCAGTCTTGTAATTGACTGCTCCATAGGCTTACATGCAAAACAGCTCATCTTTGAAAATAAAAAAATAAAAAATGCTACATAGAAAAAAAATTTCATGTTCATATCATGTATGTATTAATGTGAAATTGTGATTTAATCGAAAAAAAAGTGGGTCATGCCACGAAGAATAAAAAGTTATGTAACCCTGTTGTCAAAACAATTTTTTTCTACTTTCTGTTTGCTGTTTTTACTAGGCTGCACCACTTCCAGTAAACATGATATCCTTCCACTTTCTTGGATTGATATCCCCAAAAAGATGCAAGATTTTTTTTAAATCTATATATATGTTTGAATTCAGCATAAACTTTTAATCAAACAGAAAAAATTGAGTCCAGAAAAAAATTCTGAAAAAAATGGACTATTTTATTTACCTCCATGTTTTGACATGCACCGGAAACTGGAGTTGTAATACAAGACTGGTACCATGACTGAAGGGACGGGCCCAAACGAACTCCATAGAATGAGATGTACCAGTGCTTATAATACAATTGTTTACCAAATATCAATGACTTACTATCAGTTGTTACACTAATAACTTGTTAATGCTGCCATAACCTAGCTGGAAACAACGTGCCCAAGTCTTGCCTCCACAACTTTGTAGAGGTACGACAAAAATTACCGAATATGTCAATTTAACAATTTCATCAAAACTTTCAGAGCAATTTCCCCTGTGAAGGTATTCATACAGTATGAATTCCTTACTCATGATATCAGTAACTGGATTTATACATGCACAAACAGTCATGTACAACACCAGTCCACCATTATAATTCACTGGATAACCAATCATTTTAAAACAAATATTCATAGATAGACTTAGAGGGATATATTTACACATTTTGTTATAAAAGTTCCTTATTAGTTCGTCTGTGCAATGGTGACAGCTGATCCAGAAAACAATGGCATGTGAAAAAGAAATAACACTGAGGATCCAGATTTCCAATTTATAGGGTTAAATGATTTCATTACTAGTAACTACTGAAACTGCCATCTATTTAAAGTGTTGCATTCATTAATATTAAGAATACATATGATTTTTTTTTTAATTCAACTACCAGTAAATGTTAGTGATATGTATTAAAATAAGACATGTGTTGTCTTCTGTGTCTATATTTTATTGAC